CTTAATAAGAGCATTGGCAGCCCTGGGCCATAAACCTGGTCCCAGGGGGTCTGGGCAGGGGGACAAGGGCTTTCATCTTAGGTACCTGTTCCAGCATTCAGCTACGTGCTCCAGTGTTATGGGGATGGCTCCAGAGAAGATGGAGATTCCCTTTGCACAAGGAGCATGAGTGGTGATGGGCACAAGTTACTCCTGGGAGGATTCTGGCTGGACACAAGGGGAAGATTTTTCCCCGTGAGAACAATCAGCCCCTGGAACGATGTCCCTGGGGAAGTGATGGATTCCCCAGGACTGGGCACTTGAAAGCCTCAGCTGGACGTGGTGCTAGGACACCTTGTCTGGACTGTGGTTTTGCAGAGTAAGTCTGGACCAGATGATCACAGGATCCCAGCCTGGTTTGGGTTGAAGGGACCTCAAAGCTCCTCCAGCTCCAACCCCTGCCACAGGCAGGGACACCTTCCACTAGAGCAGCTTGCTCCAAGCCCCTGTGTCCAACCTGGCCTTGAGCACTGCCAGGGATGGGGCAGCCACAGCTTCTCTGCCACATACCCAGACCCCAGAGCTCCCCACTCTACACCGGCTGTTTTGGGGAGGTCACTTCCAACCCTGCACTGTGGGACTCATGATTAAAACCCTTCAGGAGGGAGAGAGAGGGAGAGGGAGAGGGAGAGGGAGAGGGAGAGGGAGAGGGAGAGGGAGAGGGAGAGGGAGAGGGAGAGGGAGAGGGAGAGAAGAGGAGGAGCTGCCAAACAAACCCCAGCTGTTTTGGCCACCTTTGCTGATGCTGAGCACGTGCTGATTGGGGTGTAACATGGATGGAACACTCTCATTGCCTGTTTCCTTCCTTCAACTTCCCCACCCATCCCAGAGGGGCTGGGGAGCATTTATTCACTGTAAGTACAAGCTTGCTGGTCACAGGGGCATTTCCTTGCTGGGGGCTGCTTTGATGCTGCAGTAAGAGCAGAGGTAACCAAGGGACCAGCCTGCAGGTACATCCAGCAAGACAGTGTCCCCCGCAATGTCTTCTGCCACCAGCAAAGCAGGAGCCCCAGCAGTTGCTGAGCACAGTCAATAGGTGCTGAGTCCTTTAATGACTCTCCCATTGGATAAACAGAAATGAAAAGGCAAGGTTGAGCAGGAAAACTCAGGCATGGGCTGACCTTGTTCAGACCCCCCCTTCGAGTCATCCCAGTGCTGCTTTCAGGCCCTGTTAAGCAATATTTGCTTTGCTGGTCATTTAGGCCATCAATGCTAATGCCTGGGGCAGGCAGGGGGTGTCACAGCCTCTCCCCTCACCTCCTTCATCCCTCCCATCCCATCTGTGGCCTTTAAACCTGAAGCCTGGTGCGAGGCTCTGGTAGCCAGCAGCCAGGACATCAGAGCCTTTCGCTGCCAACAGCAACAGCACCCACGACTTTTCATCCTGCCCAAAGCACTGGAAAGGAAATTAAAAGGGCGATAAGGGAGCTCTTTGAGCAGGGAGGGAATATTCGGTGCTATCGGTGAGATAAACGAGTATCTCTTCCGGCTCTGGCAGAGGCTCAGGAATGAGACGTGGGGTGAAATCTGCATTTATAGAGTTTCCATAACTCCTCCAGGCTGCGGGATAACCATGGCCCTCCTCACTCCTCAGGGAGGGAGCTCAGCGCTGCTGGACAAAGGGACAGAGGCTGTGCAGAGGAGCCGGATCAGCTCCAGGATTTCAGGGTAGTTTTGTGGCTCTGCTGGCCCAGGGCAGCTCCCTTTTGGTGCCTTTCGAACACCCCCGGTGCCCAGCAGCCCCCAGAGACAGGAACCAGCAGAGGGTTTGCACGAGCTGGATTTGATCCATCCGTGTCTCATCCATTGGTCCCAGAGCAGGGGACTGGCCCCTGTATGATGCTCCCCTATGGCTATAGGGGCTGATGCCCACCAGGAGGGAGGTGTACCCGCGGTCACCAGCATTCCCTGGGGGCAATTCAGTGGGAACAAGAAGGGGGGAGTATGGGTGCTCCATGCATGGCAGGAGAGCAGCATCTCCTCCAGCTCTCTGAAATCAGGGTTTTGCCCCGTTGCCCTCCTGCCATGGGCAAGGATGAGATGCTGCAGGATGCTCGAGATGCCCCCACAGCTCAGCCCCACGCCTGCCTGAGCTCAGCACCGAATCCAGCACCCATCCATGTGGTCCCACTCCTGGGGACAGCTCTGTGACCATGGGGACACCCCAAAGCATCACTCGCCAAGTGCCCAAATCCCCAGCACAAGGCCAAGGAGTGACTGAAGGTTTCCGTGCACTTAGAGCAGAGCTAAGGGAAGCCCTGGCCCCGCACATGGTGGACGTGAGGCCTCGTGTCCTGCTTGGCAGCAGCCGAACAGAAATGCTCCTGTGCTGGTAAGTGCCTGAGCAAAGCGACAAGCGGCTGCTGGGGAGCGAAGCCTGGAGCAGATGCTTGCGCTGCAGTGAAAGGAGAGAAATCTCTCCATCAAACAAAGCAGGATCAGAGCCACAGGCACCTCCCTGGGCCCCGTAAGGAGCCAGCAATCGGTGACCAAGCAGCTTCGCTGCAGGGCAGAACACTGACATTGACACTGTTGCATCCTTGGAGTGATGCAGCTGAAGTGAAGCACCATAACAACTCACTGCCCTCAGCTGAGTGGGGGCAGCTTCACCCACGTACCCCAACCCCAGACCCCCAGTGCACACCGGCTGTTTGGGGGCAGAAATGCCTGTTAGACACCCAGCCCTTCTCCAGCTCATCCTCACCTATGGAATGTGATGGGGCCTTAAGTGCAGAGCTTTCATTTGCAGTGGTTTGCACAGGAAAGCAAAGGCATCGCTCAGCGGTGCCGGGGATTACTGTGAGCAACCCATGTTCAACCTCCACCCATGTGAGCATCCTCCCTGCACCCAGGACCAGCACTGTGTGACCCCATGGACCCCCAAACCCATGTGTGTTTCCCACCCTCAACGCCAGGAAAAGGGTTCATTTAGGAACGTTATGCTCAGAGATTGGATCTCTCTGGGGGTTTTCCTTTTCTCACCTTCAATTAAAGCAGTTTATTCTCATCACAGTGTTTAATTAGCCAATATTGGAATGAATTATTATAATTAGCCTGTAGTTAAATGGTCTCAATGTGTGAGGGCACGTGGGTGCCTTCAAGGGTCCTGCTCGCTTTCCCTGACAGCTCTGGCTCATCCCAATGGCACCCAATGCAATTCCAGCAGAAAAACCCCAACACAGCCATAGAACAGAGGTTGGAAAAGCTCATCCAGCCCAACCGTTCCCAGCACTGCCAAGGCCACCACTGACCCATGGCACTGAGGCCTCGTCTCCACGGGGTGTGAACGCTTGCAGGGACGGTGACTGCAGCCCTGCCCGTTCCCATCAAATCAACCCAGGCTCCACACCTCACATTTGACTGACCGGGAGGATGAGGAGGGACATCACTGGGTGCCAAGAGGTGCAATGACGTGGCTGGACTCATCCCTGCTCCTCCCGGCCCCGCCGGCATCAGCCTGGGCTTCTCCTGCTGTTCCTATGCGCTATTGACCAGCAGTGACTCAGAGCTCGGTCCTGTTCCCGGCACAGGTCAGCAGGGAGGGCACACGCTGGCTGTGCTCAGTCCTGCTGCCTCGGCAGCCCCTACCCATGTCTGGAACTCTGGAACCACAGCGCCTGGGGGAACCTCCCAGCACCACTTCCCTGGCTGCACCCCACAGCACCCCAACCCCAGCCCAGCCCCACAGCCCCACAGACCCTCCCGACACCGCTTCCCAGCATAGGGAACATCCCAGGGGTTGCTCACAAGCAGATTCACAAGCAGAGGTCGAGCAACGAAACGGAACAATGTTAAGACCAAAGAGCTGGAGCTGAAGCAGCTCTGCTCTGGAGCCAGGCTGAGAGAGCTGGGCTGGGTCAGCCTGGAGAAGAGAAGGCTCCTGAAGGGGAGACCTGAGAGCAGCTCCAGTGCCTGAAGGGGCTGCAGGAAAGCTGGAGAGGGGCTTGGGACAAGGGCCTGCAGGGACAGGCCAAGGGGAATGGCTTTAACCTGCCCGAGGGGAGACTGAGATGAGCTCTTAGGCAGAAGCTCTTCCCTGTGAGGGTGCTGAGGCGCTGGCACAGGGTGCCCAGAGAAGCTGTGGCTGCCCCATCCCTCGCAGTGCTCAAGGCCAGGTTGGACACAGGGGCTTGGAGCAAGCTGCTCTAGTGGAAGGTGTCCCTGCCCGTGGCAGGGGTTGGAGCTGGAGGAGCTTTAAGGTCCCTTCAACACAAACCAGGCTGGGATCCCATGAATTACACAACACGTAAAACTCAGCTTCCCCCATACCTCAAAGCAATGCTCAGGCTGCTTCTTCCCACCTTGAAAGTCCGCAGGGCTGGGGGTTTAACTCCTTCTTTCACTTCCAAGCCCCCAGCTGGTGGCAGTCCCAGGCCCTGCACACGAAAACCCCCAAATCCTTTTAAAACATCTTTCTTTTTTCTCTTTTTTTTTTTTTCCTTTTTTTTTTCTTTTTTTTTTATTGATTTCGTTGAAAACAGAACAAGAAAAATGAGCGGAGCCAAAAGAGCGCTCCTGCGACGGCCGAAACAGCAACCGCAAATAATAATAATAAACATGACGGCATTATGAATGTTCTAGGAGAGATGAACAAAAGAAACTGGTACTGCCCTAATTACAGTATTTAAAGATATATGCAAAAAACAGAAACAAAACAGAACAAAACTGAAGGTAATGACCTGCGCAGCCACCACACAAAAGGTGATGGCAAATTTTATTCACACTACAATACTAACCATTTAAAAAAAGGTTTCTTTTTTTTTTTCCTGCAGTTTTATACTAAAATCACTTTGTTCTTTTTATACAATTGATAAGTTTATATTCACGTGGTGAGCAAAAATCACACCAGAATCAGCACCGTTTTGTTGTGTGGTTTCTCTTTGTTGTCGTTTTGGTTTTTTTTTTGGGGGGGGTGTTCTTGGGGTTTCTTTTCTGTTTCATGGGGTTTTGTTATTTTGTGGTTGTAGTTTTTTAACGCCAGTCCCCAATGTCCTGGTAAAAAAGAACTCAGTTTCTTGGAACCTCAGAGCGGGTGGCTTAAAAACGAATCGAAGGTGCCCAGCGTTGAGGAAAGGGATGGGAACAGACGAGCTGGTGGCATCTGGGATGTCCTCGCCTGCTCTTCGCCCTGGCGGCGGCCGCGAGCCGAGGTCCTCTAGAACACGCTTATCATTCACTTTGTGTTTATAAAAACAAGGAAAAACCTGAATTGCTGCAGAAGTTTAGTGTCTTGTACGATCCCCTTCGACCTTCCCTCTCTACAACACCTCCTGCGACGGGGCGAGGGGAATCCTTCCGTGGAGACGGTAACAGGGCCCAGTGGTGTGGACAAGAGCTGGTTCCTGATGGAGAAAGCCCAAAGGGAGCCCAGGCTCAGGGGAAACATCTCTGGTTGGCTCAGGGAGAGCCAGGGACCAAAGGGATTGTGAGGAGCATGGGTTTCCTCTCGTTGGAAGAGAAAGAAGCCGGTGGATTTGGGAACAAGGAGGGTATTTGTTAGAAATGCCCTCTAGCTCCTCAGGAAAGGCCCCACCACAACATCCTGTGAGATGTGGGAGAAATCCATGATTAGAAACAACCAACCAACCAAAAAACCAAACAAACCAACAAAAGCCAACCAGCAGAGCCTGCCCCGGGGCTGTGCCAAGCACCCCGAACGCCAGCACCTCCCTCCCTCTGCTTAGCAACAAAGTTCCATCAAGTACTCAAAGTTTATTCCAAGCGAACTGGAGATGACTTGGCATGAGTGATCCATTCAATGAACATTCCGAGGACGGGAGGCCCTCCCCTGGACAACACTTGGGAGCACACTAAGAGGAGGAGGCCAGGACAGCTTGCAGGGAGAACAAAACTGCACCAGCCACCCCTCCACACTGTGAAACCCAGCAGCTTTGCAGGCCCAGGGAGGGGAGAGCATCATCACGGAGGTGGGGTTTGCTTTTACTTATTCCTCAAGTAACAGTCGGTGGCACAGCCCTAAGCGTCACGAACTCTTGGCTTTCCTGGAGAGGGCTTTTTTTTTTGTGTGTTTTTTCATTTTTTTTCTCTTTAAATGGAAATTCAGACAGTTTGTGAATCTATGGGTTAAAAGGAGTCAGTCTCTGGGGAGCGGAGCCTCAAAAGGGGCCGGCTGCTGTGGCAGAGCTGGTGTCGGGGAGCCCGTTTTCCTGCGTGTCCTGGGACGAGGTGCTCGCCTGCCGCTGGGCCAGCGCTGAGCTCGAGTGTTTGCACTTGGGTGAACCGCACTGACAGCTGAAGAATTTGCCTTTGATGTCCCAGAACCTGTCTCCGTAGTCAAAGCTGCAAGAGACAGAGATGGGGTCACTGCAAAGCACCAGCACACAGGAGCAAAAGGGAGCATTGGAGCCAGAGGCCAGGGTTGGCAATCCTCAGAGCTGGGGGGCTTGGAACGCTTCAGGGGATGGAGTGTGCTTGTGGGATCCCTTGGGACTGAAGGGATGGAGTGATCTTGTGTTCAGTTCTGAGACCCCCACTGCAAGAGGGACACTGAGGTGCTGGAGCGGGGCCAGAGAAGGGCAATGGAGCTGGTGCAGGGCCTTGAGCACAAGTGTGATGGGGAAGGGCTGAGGGACGTGGGGGGTTTAGTCTGGAGAAGATCAGGCTCGGGGGGACCTGATCGCTTCCTACAAGTGCCTGAGAGGAGGATGGAGCCAGGAGGGGCTGGGCTCTGCTCCCAAGGAACAAGGGATGGGACAAGAGGAAACGGCCTCGGGCTGCACCAGGGCAGGTTTAGATGGAGCTGAGGAACAATTCCTTGCCCAGAGGGTGCTCAGGCATTGGAACAGGCTGCCCAGGGCAGGGCTGCAGTCACCGTCCCTGCAAGTGTTCACAGCCCATGGAGATGAGGCCTCAGTGCCATGGGTTAGTGGTGGCCTGGGCAGTGCTGGGAACGGTTGGACTGGATGGGCTTAAAGGGCTTTTCCAACCTGGTTGAGTCTATGATTCTATGACCCTGCTCAGGAGCAGCGCTGCTTTCATTCCATCACACTCCATTCTCCCTGCAGCGAGGCAGTGGCAGCCCCAGGACAGCACTTACCCGATTTCTTCTCCAGCTTCTATGTGCCTCGTGCTGAAGAAGGCGATCCTGGGAAAGCGGAGGTCCTGGTGCGACATGAACACTCGCACGGGGATGAGGTTTGGCTCACAGAGGTGGTTGATAAAGCGGCTGATGTTGCCATAGAAACGGGCGTCGATGCAGTAAACCTCTCCATCCTAGGGGAGAAATGTGTCAGTAGCCATGAGGTGAGGCTGGGTTTAGTATCAGTGCGGTTTTTACAAGGGCCTGTATGGACAGGACAGGGGGAATGGCTTTAACCTGCCCGAGGGGAGACTGAGATGAGCTCTTAGGCAGAAGCTCTTCCCTGGGAGGGTGCTGAGGCGCTGGCACAGGGTGCCCAGAGAAGCTGTGGCTGCCCCATCCCTGGCAGTGTTCAAGGCCAGGTTGGACACAGGGGCTTGGAGCAAGCTGCTCTAGTGGAAGGGGTCCCTGCCCGTGGCAGGGGTTGGAGCTGGAGGAGCTTTAAGGTCCCTTCCAACCCAAACCATTCCATGACTCCATGGTTCTACGATTACCGCTACTTGTTAAAACAAAACAATTGACCAAATTATTGACCATTCCAGCAATACTCTGCAGAGCTTCAAGAAGAACAACCAGGGCAGGAAGCCCACTGCAGGTTTAAAAGGACTAAACACACACTTTTAGATCCAACAGTACCCCAAACCCCCAGTTTTCTGCACAGCCCTCTGCCCACACCAGCCCAATGCTCCTGTCACTGCCTGGTCCGTTGGCTCTCTCCACTCTGCCCAGCTAAAGCACCAGCTTGGCATGGTGGGATTGATGCCTGGTGCAGACAAACACCTTAGGGGTACAAGCTGCTGGATAGGGGAATAGCATCTGTTCTGTCCTCTAATTGAACATGACAGCGAGGAAGCACAAAGCCAGAGCCTCAAGAAAACACAGGTTTTTGCAGATAAAAGTGCAAGGGAGAACACAGAAATTCCCTTTCCAGAGAGCAGTAATATTTTGTTTTCCTTGAAAAGAAAAGAACCTCCCTCAGGGCTTTTTTATTCCAGCAGAGAATGACTGTGCAAGGCAGAGGCTTTAATTACAGGAGCTAATTTCAGCTGCAAAGAGGCCAAAAGCAAAAGGCTCCATTAGCAGTGCTCAAGCTCCCTTTTGAGCAAGCACCTCACCACCGGTAATGGACAAGTGGTGCCAGATCACACCACCCCACTGGGGCAGGAACCCAGGGAAGGTGTCCCAACGGCTGGGGAGGCATCACCCCACGTGGTCCTGTAACACACACATGCTGTTATTTCGTGTTGCAATTAGCAGGAATTCCCATCATCCCCTCACTTTCCTCCATGGAAATGCCTTGGCTGGGGAGGGCAACATCACCCACTACCACATCTAGTGCCTGTTTGGAAAGATCTGGGCTCCCCACCATGCAAGTGAAGATGTGCTTCTTGAGAAAGGATTCTGCTGCCTTGACTGACCCAGGCAGAGTCCTCACTGTGAAGCTGCTGAGGAGGAAGAGTCCCAAAGCAAAGTGCTTCCCACCTTGCCATGAGGGTAGGGGAAAAAATCTGAAGGATCAAGGCCCAACTAGAACTTAATCTGGCTACTGCTGAGAGAGACAATTAAAAATGATACTACAAATACATCAGCAACAAAAGGAGGGCTAAGGAGAATCTCCATCCTTTATTGCATGTGAGGGAAACATAGTGACAAAGGATGAGAAAAAGGTTGAGGTACCTAATGTCTTTTCTGCCTCAGTCTTTAATAGCAAGACCAGTTGTTCTTGGGTATCCAGCCCCTAAGCTGAAAGACAGAGACAGGGAGCACAATGAAGCCCCCATAATCCAAAGGGGAATGGTCAGTGGCCTGCTATGCCACTTAGACACACATAGTCTATGGGAATGGATGGGATCCACTCAAGGGTGCTAAAGGAGCTGGTGGAAGTGCTCACCAAGGCATTTCCATCATTTCTCAGCAGTCCTGGCTCACTGGGGAGGTCCTGCTTGACTGGAGATTACCAAATGTGATGCCTGTCTACAGGAAGGGCCAGAAGGAGGCTCCAGAGAACTACAGGTCTGTCAGTCTGACCTCAGTGCTGAGGAAGATTATAGAGCAGGTCATCCTGAGTGCCATCACGCTGTGCATACAGGATGACCAGGTGACCAAGCCCAGACAGCATGAGTTTATGAAAGGCAGGTCCTGCTTGCCTGACCTGATCTTCTTCTACGACAAGGCGACTTAGTGGATGAGGGAAAGGCTGTGGTTATTGTCTACCTGACCCTAGTGAAACCTTTGACACCATTTCCCACAGCATTCTCCTGGAGGAACTGGTTGCTCATGGCTTGGACGGGTGCAGTGATCACTGGGTAAAAACCTGCCTGGATGGCCAGGCCCAAAGAGTGGGGCTGAATGGAGTCACAAGTGGTGTTCCCAAGGCCTCAGACACCCTGCAAGAAGACAATGCTTGTGCCTTGGATCTTCCTCTTTGCTTCACTGAAGGCTTCCTAAGAGCAAACCCAGAGGTTCCCCATCAAGGCAGGCAGCCAGGGGCTGACCTAAAGGCCAGGCGAGGCCCAGGTGGGGTCTTGCTCTAAGTGCACAAACCAGGCTGAAGTCCCTGGTGCTTTTCAACTCCATAATCAGGTTGACCCTGCCGTTTTCAGACTGACTACAACACTCATCCCTTGTCTTCTTTCAGTTGTTCAGGGTGTTGCTTTAAAAAGAAAAAAAGGCAAAAAAGAAAAAGAGCAAAGCTTCTTTGTCATTAGCTGATGACAAAAACAAGACGGCTTGGAAGCCACCGCGCTCCTCTGAGTCCCCAGCTCCCCTCTCTCCTCCTTTCCCCAGCAAAGTCTGAAGTGATGGCTTTGATAAAAAACATCAGATGGCACTTTTCAAAGCAGGGTTTCTGCTCTGAGACAGCTCTCCACAGAGCAGCACAGGGTAACTACCAGCAGAACAAGCCTCCAGCCCCTGCCAGGGTATCTGATCCCTTTTGAGTGAACCAGGCTTGCTCTTTCAGTCTTCCAACTCATCTTTCTATGAAGAACTCACAAAGCTGTCAGTCCGGACTGCAAGCCTGCATACACACACTGAGTATCAAAAACCGAACAACTCAGCTCAGGATACCTGAACAGTTTTGACAGAAGAGCATCTTGCATCAGAACTGGTGTGGGGAGCACACACCATGCTAGCCCCGCGTTGCTTTAACAAGCCCTAAGCCTTACCTCAACCCCTCTGTATTTCATGGCTCTCCTCTCTGCTGTGTGTCAAGGTGCAGACAAATACTCTCTTTGCCCTTATGGAGAGGCAAGACCCTGGGTTTGTCTCATCAGGCACCTCCAGATACAGTACCTTGTTGTCAAGGTCGAAGAGGTAGGAGTCCTCTTCACGGACATCTGCCTCCGAGTCAGATATCAGCTCACCAACGTACCTGCAGACAAACGGGGAAGGCAGAGATAAGATGTTCATGCAATCATGTGTTTGGGTTTAAACTTCTCTTTCTGAGAAGAGGGAAAGAAAGAGATACAGCTCAGCCACAGGTGGCAACCCTCAGCCTCACAGGGCAGGTCATCTCAGAGCCACCCAGGCAAACTGAGCTTTGCCAGTTTACAGCAGCTAAAATCTTGCTCCAAAGTCCTCCTTTTCAGGGCAACGCTTTCAATATTAAAACTGGAGTCTTACTTCCAATAAAATTTACTTTTCCTCCGAGGAATGCGTTTCCTTCTGCAAATCTCTTTGTTGGCCAAGATCAACACATTAATCCAATTCTCCTGTTCAGACTCATGTCCTGGCTCTCCTGTACACTACTGCACTGCTTGTGCTGTTTATATCCCAAAGCAAAATGGTTGTGTCTGTCCCTCCTGTATTTTCCAGGGTATTTTGACTGATTACATAGGCTACACACCTTAAAAAGGTTTGGTTTTGAAGTCTTAGGTCTAACCTAACCTGGCAGGATCCCTGCAAGGATCCCAACTTCTTTCTATCCCTCTCAAACCAGAATAAATCAGAACTGTGGTCCAGTAACAACCACCTTGTTGTGAAACCAGGTGCAAGGCAGATTACAACCAGGTCCTCTGATCACCACAATGCACGTGCTGCTTGGCCTGGCTTGCTGAGAAGAACTAAATACACCCACCACCTTCCACACCCCAGACAGACACTGGTTTTGCTGCAAACCCCCTTGCACAGGAGTCCCCACTGCACTGGTGTTCCCACATTTGTCTCCCTGCCTCCATCACAAGCAGTTTTGGACTGTCAAGGTTCAACATTTCCTGCCTTGACCTGCTTCAACTGAAGTAAGAGACACGAGAGGTACAGAGCCAGAGGGAGAATATGAGAAAGCGGCAACAGCCCAGCAGTATCTAACTCTTCCTGCCCTGCACTGCAATGATAATTAATTATAAGCAAAGGATTCACAATACGAATAAATGAATATTTTGCAGCATCAACATTATTCCATGATCAGCATCCGTTATCCCAGCATTGCTCTGCAGCTCCCAAGGCATTTCCAAGTGTTAACCAACTGTATCCATTCCCCACCCTGGCTTGAGGCAGCACTTAACTGCAAGGCTGGGACAGAGGAGAGCCACAAACCATTAACCTGGAGAGGACCCATTCCATGACAAGGGATCACCTGGCTGCAGTTCCCAAACCTGAGGGATCTGGTCAGAGCAGGAGGCTGTCGCTGTGTGTGATCCTCCTCTTTGCCCCACTACACCTTGTTATTTATGAAGCACTACTGGAAATCACACGCTCAGTGGTGACCTAAAGCAATAGGAAGACGATGGCCAGAGATGAATTGCTGTAGCGTGGCACAGTAGCCAGCAGCAGCTGAGAAACAGCTGAATAATGCTGCATGGAGAGTGCTCTGCTCAGGGACAGCTACTCCAGGTTTACAACTCAGTGAAACTAAAAACCACAATCGAAATAGAAACTGTTGGTTTGATGTTCCTTTAAAGACTATTCCTGTAATTCATTACCTTTCCAGGACTGCTTACAAATACAAACAGTTCCTTTATTTCCCAGATGGAAAGTCAGGGAGGGATGTGCAAGAAGCACATGTTCCTACACAATAAAAGAGTTTGAGCTTCAGTCCCTTCCTTTAAGAACTCCCAAAATCAAGCCAACATCCTTCTTCTCAGCAAGATACTGAGCATGGTGCTGGCAAGTAACTACACCTGAGCTTTACCCTGCTGCTCATCACTGCAAGACCACAGCTCACTCCATGCTAAAAATCAACAGCAACAGGAAGGTCCCAGAATAGGCTCCAGGGTTTTCCATGCAGTGTGGAAAATGGGACACTTGGGGATCTCTCTGGCTGAAAGGGTGGCTAAAACACCTGGCTCAATGCAGATGGTATCAAAGCATCACTCTTTCATATAGAAATGAAACCACACAATGGGCATGCACAGAAAGTAACAGACTAGATCCTCACAAGTCTCTACACTTCCTGCACCCCACTAGTTCACAGCCTCTCTGCTCTGGAGCCAGGCTGAGAGAGCTGGGCTGGGTCAGCCTGGAGAAGAGAAGGCTCCTGAAGGGGAGACCTGAGAGCAGCTCCAGTGCCTAAAGGGGCTGCAGGAAAGCTGGAGAGGGGCTTGGGACAAGGGCCTGTAGGGACAGGCCAAGGGGAATGGCTTTAACCTGCCAGAGGGGAGACTGAGCTGAGCTCTTAGGCAGAAGCTCTTCCCTGTGAGGGTGCTGAGGCGCTGGCACAGGGTGCCCAGAGAAGCTGTGGCTGCCCCATCCCTGGCAGTGCTCAAGGCCAGGTTGGACACAGGGGTTTGGAGCAAGCTGCTCTAGGGGAAGGTGTCCCTGCCCGCGGCAGGGGTAGGAACCAGATGAACTCTGAAGTCCCTTCCAATACAAACCAGTCTGGAAGAGCTCAGAAGCAGAAACAGAAAGGGAAATGATTGCTGGAGTGATTATAGAGAAAAGTTGAAAGGTTTCTAAAGCACAAACCAGGCTGAAATGCTCCTTGTGTGTAAAAAAGGCATTCACACACAGAAACAGTCAGGACCAGCAGAGCTTTGCAAAATGAAAGTGTTGTGAGAACTATTCCAGACCTGCTCCCCATGCAGGCAAATGTGAAAACTCATGGAATAAAGTCATCCTTACACCAATACCATTATCATCCTTCCCAAGCAGAGGAAGAACTGCTGTATGAAGCAACTAGCTGCTCAGGGCTCTAATCTGGACTTTCAATGCAAAATCCTCTTCCACAGGAGCTGATCCCAGGAGCTGCTGTGTGCAAGCAGCCCCCAGACACCTCTGGCACAGGCGCTTCTTTGCCAGAGATGAGGGAAAAAAGAAACCAAGTCTGTAGGGTGGCCATGAAGAACCACAGGAAGGCCATCAGTGCAGCTGGAGGAGAGGAGGAGGACTGCGTGTTGGTGAGTTAATACTGTGTGTGTGTGAGAGTGATGGAGATAAGGAGGAACGTGCATGGGCAAGACACAAATTAGCTCAGCTTTTTAGTATGCAGCTTATTTAGATAATGATGAAGACAATGTCAGCAGCTCCTGGCAAGGGTGAAGGGAAGAGTTAAGCATGGTCATGGTATCTGCACCCCATCAGCAATGATGTGCTCCACAATGCGCCCGTCTGTGTCCATTACGCTGTCAGGGCTGCCCTGTTTCCCTGGGCTGCCAGCTCACCACTGCCAATACCTCTTGTGTGTTTAGCATTCCAGTAGGATTTGGTAAAGTTGGTGCCTTTCCTCTTTGGGAGCAGTTTACTTGCAGGCTCTGGCTCATTGCTGGATGCTGAGAATCAGGACACTGCGATCTCTGGTACTTGACAGAAAGCCCCACCTGAAGACAGACTTGGGACACTGCCCACAAACAGCAGTTTTAAGCCTTACCTCTGCACAAAACATGTTCTTGTCTGGCAGCTCCAAACATGGAAGAAATACTTGGCCAATTCACTGCAGAACTGACTTAATTCTCCAATGATTTTCCTCAATCCCCTGCCCCAATTCTATAAAACATCAATAACTACTTCTAGAAGACCCCAGCACCTATTTCCATGAAGGCCACAAGTTCAGCACTCTTTAGAAGGTGTTAACTCACTGGAGAATTGCAATGAAGAAAACACTTCCCAGAACATCTATAAAGCACACATAGCACTTTAAAGCCTGAAAACTGTGGGGCTCAATGGCAGACTTTTTCCCTTGACATACATCTGAAACATTTTTGTTCTTAAATACTTTAGTGAATCAGAGCTGACACATGCTTAACACAAAGTGCTTTACTGTTTTGTTGAATAAAACCAAAGCCAAAGCTGTGACACTGGAAAACTTCTTGAGATGTCAGTATTGAAACAGAAAAAGATCCCCTAGAAAGAAGTTGTTTCCAACTGCCTTGGCCTGAAATGTCCCCTTAGCCACAGCGAACATATGACTTGAGCACATGTGCAGCACAACCCAAATGCATTCTCCCCTCACCACTTGTGTTTCAGAGGGGAAAGAGCTCAGCACAGATCTCATCGAGCCAGCAAAGGGTGGAGAAAGCTCCACACTATGAGGAAAAGGACAAACAGAGCAGGAATGGAGTCAGGAAACTCCATTCAAATTGGCTGAGGGCCCGATGCCAGTTTGACTGGTGTGAAAACCTCTCCTTAAAGAGCAGCAAACCACCTCAGGAAGCAATGGGCTTGTGGGAGCTACTGAAAGCTGAGGAACTTACTCGCACACAAAGGTTCCCAGAGGAATGTCCTGCATCGTTCGCACACCCCAGCCCATCTTTTGTGTCCGATAAAGCTGCAATCGAGTCCTGGAAAGAGAAAAAGAAGCCACATTAATAGCAGCACTGCACAGAAAGATGATGAACTTTCATAGAGGGATAAGCAAAAAAGGCAGCAACCTTCCATGACCACAAACTCAAAGCTGATTTTGATACTCAACCCCCAGTTCTCACACTGGCACCACTGAGGGAACGCTCCACTCCCACCACTGCTCTCAGCACGTGGGTAGATAATTCTTCACTAGGAGTGGGGTGACACACTGGTAGCCCAGAGAAGCTGTGGCTGCCCCATCCCTGGCAGTGTTCAAAGCCACGTTGGACACAGGGGCTTCGAGCAAGCTGCTCTAGTGGAAGGTGTCCCTGCCCGTGGCAGGGGTTGGAGCTGGAGGAGCTTTAAGGTCCCTTCCAACACAAACCAGGCTGGGATTCTATGATGGAAACTGCCTGGGGACAAGGGATGGGCATCCGTCACCCCTTTCTCCTGCACAGCTGCACCCCTCAGGACTGGGGAGGAGGATGTGGGAGTGGATGCTCCATGTGGTTACACCACTGATGATTGACATGTAGGACACAAGACTCTCACCCCCAGCATTTGTTTTTCCTTCCACACACTCAGGAGAAGGCCAGGAAGGTGGAATGGGACTTAAGGCAGTGTAGCTCTGCAGGGAGGGTGCTGCAGGGAGAAGGCAGGGAGCTTATGGCGAATTAAGAACGCCTTAAGTTAAGTGCTCTGACCCCTTTGCCCTCTGTAGAGGCCAGTGCATTTAGCAGCTCCATCATATCCAGCTCCCTGGCTGAAAGACAAGGAAGAAACGCTGCAACTTGAAACTTCTTGGTGTAATTGCTGCTCTGTGGAATTTTACTGATGGAGTTCATAGGCAGAGAAACAATTCTGTAAGTCACTGTGCCTCCTGCTCCGCCAGAACTTGAGTTAAGTGCAGGATGAACAGTCTCCAGGGCTAGGGAAGGCTGATGCTGTCCCAAGGGAACCAAAACCCACTCTCAGCAATGCTGTTATTGGAATAAAGAGAGAGCCAACGCTCACCTTAACTTCACCCAGTTGCTTTCCCCAGCACTTCTCCTCCCCAGCACTCCCTCCTGGCACCACCATCAGCTCAAACCAGGGGCTGTGCATTTTCTTGTACCTGCTCCCAGCTCCTGAAGCCTTCACCACGGCAAAACATGACTTCAGGAGAATGATCACTCTAAGAGTGGTTATAACACTGTTTCAGGCTTGAGGAAGCTCTCCCATGTTTTGCATCATCCATCACAGCACAGCACCAAGCTCAGGCTCTGTTACTGGGAATGACACAGACAGCAGTGGGACCAGGGCTCCAATGCCAACTTCCCAGCTAGGCCAGGTCACCCTGCCAGATGGAAATGTGTGTGCTGCTGAGCAGAGTTAATTTGGAGCAAATCTGATCAAGGCAGCACTGAAACAGAGCGGGAACAGCCATGTGTCACACTGCAGCCCAAATGCAGGAGGTTTCCTCCCAGGGACCTCAAGCACAGCTCTGTCAAGCACCCGACCGCAGGCTTCCCAACACAGCTGCTCTCCCAGGCTCACGGCTGGGTTTCCAACACTTCCTGGCTTTCAGAAAACACTTCGGCAAGGCAAAAATACAGCAGCAACAGCTCTAGGTGTACAGCTCCTCAATCAACACCCACGGAGACACCGGAGCTCTGGAGCTTGGTGGGGAAAGCCAGAAGAGATAAAGCTCTGTGGAAACACAGCCAGCTTCTTCCTTACTTGTTTTTAATACTGCAAAATGTCATTCAAACTACAAGGCTTGCAAATAAAAGTGTTGTCAGCACTACAAAAACTTTGCAGAAGTCTTTTTCCCAGTGGGATTCCTTTGGACTTAGTACAGTGGCAAACTTCTCCATAGCAGAGGTCCAAAATACAACACTGACACTTTTAGCTTGGCACCAAAACGACAGCGGCTGATCCACAGTACTGAGGCCAATGGGTTAGTCAGGTATCGATCATGGGGAGTCAGGCCAATAGCTGGAACTTCTGAGCAGCCAAATCTGGGCATGCTGGCCTATATAATATAGAATCATAGAATAACAAGACTGTTTTAGGTTGGAAGGGACCTTAAAGCTCCTCCAGTTCCAACCCCTGCCACGGGCAAGGACACCTTCCACTAGAGCAGCTTGCTCCAAGCCCCTGTGTCCAACCTGGCCTTGAACACTGCCAGGGATGGGGCAGCCACAGCTTCTCTGGGCACCCTGTGCCAGCGCCTCAGCACTCTCACAGGGAAGAATGTCTAATCTAAATCTCCCCTCTTGCAGCTTAAAGGCGTTAAATACAGACTGCTAATTTACAAGTTCTCCTAAATGAAGGCTTTGCAGTTTCTGCTGCTGTGATTTTCCTCACACATCTCCACCTGAGAAGTTACATCTAGGCTGCTCAACCAAAGCCACAAGTCATTTCCACGTTTTACGGTCAGGCTGATGAAAGAACACCACGTTTTCAACATGACAGCAACAAGGGCATGGTGTAAATATTAACTGAGCTCAACAACCTGCTGCTGCTTCATTCCCACCAACAGCACACAGGAACCCACCACTGTATGGTGGCACCTGCCCCAGCTTCTGCCTCCTGGGTTTTTTTGTGGGTTTATGGGTGAGGTGAGACTAGAGAGCCAGAAAGCTCACAGGTTTGGTGTTGGTCTTGCCAAGATAAGCTGCGTTTGGATCATCCTTCTCACCTGAGCCCATTCTGCACCACCCGGTTCCTACAGGTTCTCCAGCACGAGCACGCGTGATTGCACTCAAAGATCAGCGGCGGCTCAGCCATGTTGAATTCCGGCAGGAGTCGGCCATCCTGAAGAGGAGAGGCATTCCAGACTGGGTTAGTTGTTCATCCCTGCCACCCCTCCAAACCAGGGGCAGGCCAAGGGCAGAAATCCCCCCTCAGTGTCAAAGCAGGCCAGGGAACCCTAATGTGGAGCATGCCCCAACCTCCCCCAAAGCAGCATCAGACCTCAGCTTCTGCAGTGGCTCTGCTCTACCCCAACAGTGGTATCACCAGCATCTGGAGATCATCATCACTATCACCAACAGCTGCCAAAGAGCAAGAGACCATCTAGATTTTTGCTGCCTGGCATCACCCTATGCACCACTAGAAAAAATATCTTACAGAGCTGTGCAAAAACCCACTGTGCATCCCCATCATTATTAGCATTTGCTGTGCTGGAGGGGAGAAGCAGACGCTTTGTCTGCCTCTGGAATAAAGCCTAAACTTCCAGAGTACAAGGCCAGTATACCCAAGTTCTTTGAACCACATTATCTTCCCAAATAACACTCCCAAAAAAGCTACAATTCAATTATTAACAAACCCAAGATAGGATTAAGGAAGCGATAGACGCAGTTCATCATATTTAACAAATTTGGCTGTTAAGGCTTGAAAGATGTAATCACCTATTAACATGTAAATAAAATGGCTACAGAGCAAAGAAAGATGCCAACAGCCCCCCTGGGAGAAACTTGCAGAGATTCACGGAAGTTCTGATCTTAGCAGAACCTGTCCAAATGTTAACCTCAAATCCTCCCTGGAGCATTGAAGCACGGTTACCCAAACCAAACCAGGCTTCTGGCAATGCTGCAGTTAAAACATCCCTACTTTGCCTTCAGCCAGAAGGATCACAATGATAACAGATAAAAGCAAGCAAAAAACCTCTTTACTACCCTGCCCTTGTTTCCATACGACAGCTTTGTCTGTGCTGCTCTGAACTGGAAGCTGATTTCACGCATGGATTATTCAATACTCTCTAGCACATGGGTGTAATTAATGGCTCAGTTGGCATGAGAGTAACACAAATAAGTAACACTAGAAAAGCTTTCCTGCTTATGTGCTTTGCTGTTATCACACACACCTCAAAGCTGAGACTACGACTTCAGGCATTTTAAAACAAAGAGAGAGGAGTTGTGTGAGGAACTGGCTTAAAGGTACTACTATAAACCCCGAACTGCAGAGTTCAGCTCACAGACAGTGACCTGACCCACTAGCAGGTTCTGTGTCCTCACCTTATCATACCAGCAGCGCATACTGAGTTGGCCACACATGCAGTTACTGGAGGAGCAGTCATCTATACATACACAATACTGGAAGAGAAGAGAAGGGGTTAACTCCCCACCACACACACATAACTGAAAGAGCAACTTCTGTGACTGGATCATAGAGGAAACCACAAGTCTTCTTGCTGCAGCTCCTGAGTCAGGACGAGTCTCATCAATTGAGCAGTGGTTTTACTCCATTATCTATGTGTGCAATTTCTGTGCGCTCTCACATTGAGCCACCTTCCTTTGTCATGAGAGGATGTCCTCCCATGTTACTAACCTTCCTGCATGCCCTATGAGCTGTGCTCCACGCTTGGGTGGAGTCGTTGAGGACAAGGACTCGTCCAAGGAGGGACAAGAGCTGGGAGATGATGCAACATGACATCTCAGTCCTGCCTGTTGCTTGCTTTTTCCCATATGTGTGCTCCAACTGGCTCCAGCACTCCCCAGACCAATGCTATCCCACCACCAGTGGCTGCCCAACAGGGTTTGGGCATGGGACATTCACTTCAGCCATTTGAGGGCTGTGCCCATAGAGGGCTTTCCCTCACCCTACACTTCCCCACCCCTGCTCTCACAACCCAGTCCTTCCAGGACTTCCAGTATCACACTGAAGACCTTGGCCTGGATGCTGCAGTCTGCAGGAAGACAGCATGAGGAAGGTCTCCCAACAGCTTACCAACTTTCCAGATACAGAACAGAGGAAAAGGATAAATGGGAGCCACATCAGCCAGCACCAGCGACAGCACACAGCTGATCACAGGGATTAGCTTAAGTGCTGGAAGAGAAATAAAGCAGAATCCCATCTCCTAGAGAAAGAGCTGGAGTTTAGGACTACAGCCTTAGCTGGAATTTGATGGCCATATTAGGAGCAGACATTCCCATTTGAATGTAAACCCCATTCTGAGGTGCAGCACACCAGGACAGGATACCCACGTGGCTATGCAAGGTCCCTCACCTGTAAATGGGTGATGTTTCTATCAATGTCCATTGGGGAGGTGACACAGTTCTGTGAAACGTATTTGTAGTTGCTAGGACAAGGCTCACTGTCCACAGAGTTGACACAGGGAATGGGGATCCGCTCATAACCCCGGGCGATGTCTCTGTCAGTGGGAGAAAGAGAACTGTCAGAGAGGAAAAGCTCCCCTGTAAAAGGGCCCATTCAACTGCCATCCTGGGGCAGAATTACTGGCTCTGGTCACTGAGCACTCAAAGCCTAAAGCAGCTCAGACCAGCAGAGAGTTCATTTTTTTCCACCCCGTCTTACAGATAGTTCTTTGTGCTTGTCAGTATTTCCATTTGGAGGATGAATTTACAAACCAGGGTCTGAATCAGCATGTGCGTAGCTCTTGCTAAGCTCAAACTGACCTTCACACCAGTTTAAAAGGCTAAGCGTGCACTTGCAGTTCTTTCTTAAACCAGACCCTCAGCCTCCCTCACGGGGCTCTATTTCATGACCCCCAAGCAAAGCCAGATGTATTCTCACCTGCTCACAACCTTCTCTATCTGGACAGGCTTCTCAGCAGATGATTCTTTGAGAGTCTTGTTCATCTGTAGGGCCACCCAGACCTGAGAGTTAAGGCTGGAGCATTGGAGTGGGGTCTCACCCTCCTTGTTCTTTAAAGTGACATCTGAGCCACGGGAAAGAAAGAGACTGCAAAAGAGCAAGACAGAGTAAGCATCTCCTGAGAGAAACTCTGCAAGGGGAAAACAAGCTGAATCACATCCTCCAGGAGCCCTTAAGGGGCAAGGAAGGATCTGTAGTAGTGAATAATCACCTGAGTTCTCCTTATTAAACATGGTTCAATGAATCCTTCTATGTGAAGGTGCTTGCAGAAGCCACAGACTTGAGCTCTAGGCACTCATGAGAGCTCTGGGCAAACCTTGCCTTGCTTCAGGCATGACAGGTACTCTGCTGGTACAAGCCTAACTTCACACAGGCTTGAAACTCTCTCTGGCAGGGAAAGATATGGGGTGGAAATGAAAAAGTCCCACAGGAAACTGGTGCTGGACTTGGCCCTTGTTTAGACTCACCGGTTTTTGGTGAGTACCCAGGATGACTATTCATAGCAGTGATGGAGCAAAGGGAAAGCCCTGTTACCATATTATGCCATGCCAGTTATGGGGAGAAAAAAAGCAAGCTTTAATCAAGGATGCCTGTGGCCTTTCTGTTGGGAAGCCCAGGCTGAGCAGAGCCCCTCAAACCTCTGCCCAAGACTCCAGCACCACTCGTTTCTTGCTCTGCTTTCCACCAGCTCTAGCAGCAGCTTGTATTTCAGACCCATTGCCCCTAGGAGCAGGGTAATGGAGAAACGAGCCCTCCATCCCCATCCTGCTTTGTGCTTAGACCTCAAAGGCATTTCAATGGATCTCCTGAGCTTGCCAGCCAGTAACCAGGCAGAAAGGAGTGACCAGGGGAAGGGAGAGGAGCAGCAGGGCTGGAGCTGTACTTACACTACACACTCATAGCGATTCTCTCTGGCTGCAATATGCAGGGGCGAGTCGCCGTGAATATTCACTGCATGTAAATCACACTTAGCAGCCAGCAGGATCTCTGCTATGTCAACACAGCCAGAAAAAGCAGCCCAGTGCAAACAGATATTTTCCTCCTGGGGGGAAAGAGAACAGAGCAGAGGCTGTTTAGTGCATTAAACCCCTATTGCTTTGGGATCCGTCATCCTTAGCTCTACACCTGCAGCATGCAACATGTGGCTTGCAGTCTTTTTCCTTCTGAGTGGGACTGCCAGGGTGGGCAGGGAAATCTCTGCACAGACAAGCAGGGAGTTCTCACTCCAGCTGCCTCCAAGTACCAAGGATGGGGAGGCTGCACACAAAGTGGTCCATTGCCTACCTTAGACACGCAGGCAAATCATCTGTCTCTAAGCTACAAACCAGTCTCAATCTATCCATGAGAGAGGTGGCAGACATGAACCAAGATGCTGGAAAAGGCTAGAAGCTGAGCTTCCCCAGCCCAGCCAACAGGAAAAGTCAGCATGCCTCCAGTGCTACAGAACTAAAAAGAGCACAGCACGAGCTATAGGACTATGAAGGTGCTAGAAAAGAGAACCACGAGCCACAGGGAGAACAATCAATTCGACTTCAGGCAGCTCTTAAATACTGAATGTACTCATCTCTCACTAGCAGCACTGGAAATAGCTGAACACTCATCTTTTTTGATGGAGGTATTTTAAGCAATGATACTCTGTTTTCAGTTCCAGTGCAATTTGCAGCACACTTCGAACCCTTCCCCATGACAAGCTCTGAAGACATCGATTAAAACAGTGCAGTGATAGTAATGATCAACTCTTGTCTATTTCTTTCTAAGCAAAAATAAAGCAAATCTTGGAGTGATTGCAACTTAGATCCTTCCTTAAATGGGAGGCTACTGACATGCACCATGGAGTGGAGAGGCCTGTTTCTATATAGCTTCTGCCTCCCAGTGTTGCAACATCTAGGTAAAGAAAACCCTAATCACATCACATACAAAAAAAATTCACCCTGTCGGCTGCACACCACATGATGCTACACCTGGACTTGCTACTCTGCCTTGCACAGGCTACTGCTGAAGGTACTGCTTGCAACAGGAACACAATCAAAAGCATTTCTCCTGGAGCTTGATGGTTCCCAGCACAATACCTGAAGGGGCCGACAAGAAATCTGGAGAGGGGCTTTGGACAAGGGATTGTAATGACAGCACAAGGGGGAATGGCTGTGAGCTGGTGGTGGGTGGATTGAGCTGAGCTCTTAGGCAGAAGCTCTTCCATGTGAGGGTGCTGAGGCGCTGGCACAGGGTGCCCAGAGAAGCTGTGGCTGCCCCATCCCTGGCAGTGTTCAAGGCCAGGTTGGACACAGGGGCTCGGAGCAAGCTGCTCTAGTGGAAGGGGTCCCTGCCTGTGGCAGGGATTGGAACTGGGTGAGCTTTAAGGTCCCTTCTAACACAAACCAGGCTGTGGTTCTATGATGATTCTATGATAGTGGCTGATTTCTGAAATGGATTCCAGGAAGGACCTTACGTTGTCACGGATGTTGATGTCCGACCCCTTCGCAAGCAGCAGCTTCACCAGCTCAATATGCTTGTACTCGGTGGCCCAGATCATTGGCGTCCAGCCTCCGTCATCCTGAGGAGGGCAAAAGGAAAGGGTGAGACATGCAGGATGGGCAAGAGGTCTTCTGCTGGCTTCACAATCTCCCTGGTAGCCACAGTAGGGTTCACCTTGCCCGGGAGCCACAGACCCCTTCCCTCCCTATGTTTGTCTCATCACTCTTCTTCAGTCTCTGCTGCTGCAGGAAGAGGTCCCTCAGGGTCCTGCAGAGCCCAGCACCATTTGAACCAACATGCCTCAGCAGGCTGGAGTTCATTCGTAGCTGGCAATGGATCTCCAGGTCATTCAAACACTGTCCAAAAGGCACAAGGAACATCCATCTTGGGTAAGAGCTATTGCAGAGCTCCCTGAGAAGCCCAGGGGTGGTGGGGTTCCCCCAGAACCAGGAACCCAGATGCAGTGCTGCCTCACCCCACGGCAATGGATAAGGTCTGTGACGACAAGGGCCAGGCTCAACCCATCCCACACCATGTCCATGATCCCACCATTCCCCCGCTAGGGAAGAGCACAGTGACTCCCTTGAACAACAGGCTCCGCCAGCAAACTCCGAGTCAAGGAGAAACTGCAAATCAAGGCACGTGCAAAGAAAGTTTCCATGGGGCCAGCGGAGGGGATTCACCTTCTCTGATGGACCGGGATGCCTATGGCACTGTCACCACAGAATGTTCTTCAGGTGCCTCCCAGGACTGTCCTTGAGAAACACTGCTGAGCCTTGAGTCCCTGACCTGAGCGAAGCAGCTCCTGCCCCTCGCAGAAAGAACTCACCTGGCAGTTGACATCCATCTTCCCGTTGGAGAGGAGGTACTGAACAACATCATAGTGCCCCTTCTTGGCAGCCAAGTGCAGACACGTGGAGCCCTCTGCATCCTGGACACAACCACAGAACAAGCACTCAGAGGACACCTCTTCCCAGCATTTCCCATGTCTGTACAACCCCAGTGATCCTCAGGAACACCAGAGAAGCTCCCAGATAGAACAGAGGGCTCCAAAAACCCCCCAGCTGCTGTGAAGGAGGCAAGAGAGCAGGAGCCAATGCCAGCACTGAGCAGAGGGAGCCTTACACAAAGCCCAGAGGTGCAACCCATGCAGAACAGGAGGCTGAGAGTGCAAAGGCTATGAGATGTCTTTTTGAAGCCTAGGGAAAGCACCAGCCCCAGACTGATGCTCCCCTTCCCCAGCAAACTCCTTCCAATGCTTCTCCATGTGCTGGGGAGCCAAGGGAGGCAGAAATCCCTTACAGAGGAGGTGTTTTCACTTTACATCAGAAAAGGAGCCTCGTCTCAACCTGAAATGTTCCATTCATACAGGTTTTTTGCTGGATTTTATTAGCACAAGGCCTTATCCCAGCACCCAGAAGCAGGGCAAAGGGGTGTCCTGCTCCTGAGAGACCAAGTCCCCAGCATGCCCGCAGCTGTCTGCTGAGACAGGAGATGAAAAACAGCCACAGGCTGAAAGGAAAAATGCCTCTGGGAGCTGAGAATACAGGGTCTGGAGGAGATGGACAGGCTGTGAGTCACGACGGGGACACTCCCACATTAACACCAAAGATCGCAGTGGCTGGAACCTGATTTTGATCAGGCCTTTATATCCCAAGAGCTTAGCACCGAGCAAGGCCCAGAGACCAGGAAATGAGGGGCAGGAAATGAAAGACTGAAAAGCAAAATGACTGCCTCCAGCCCAGCCCCTGGAAGAAACATGGGAGGAGAGAGCTTCCACATGGAGCTGATCGGGGAGTGTGGCACAGGGCTAGGGAGCAACCCCCAGGCAAGGACAGGACATCTCGGGTCAGGAGTTACAGTGGGGGCTTGTTGGGGTGAAGAAGGAGCTCCTACACCCTTACAAGTGCCACACCTGAGCAATACGACAGCTTCCCCCTTAGGCTAGCATGAGCCAAGTGCAGCTTCTCAACCCTGTGTAGAGCAGACACACATTAATATCATTTTTACCTAAATGTCTAATTTAGATTAGATATTAGGAAAAAAATTCTTCCCTGTGAGGGTGCTGAGGCGCTGGCACAGGGTGCCCAGAGAAGCTGTGGCTGCCCCATCCCTGGCAGTGTTCAAGGCCAGGTTGGACACAGGGCTTGGAGCAAGCTGCTCTAGTGGAAGGGGTCCCTGCCCGTGGCAGGGGTTGGAGCTGGAGGAGCTTTAAGGTCCCTTCCAACACAAACCAGGCTGGGGTTCTATGATTCTAATAACCAAGTTTCTGCAGGTTTTGTGTGGGCTTTTGCACCCCATCAACAGCTTCACCTGGGGTCTGAGAAGCTCCCCCAGCACCCCTCAGCTCCCTGTGCTGGGCGCACACCACAGCAAGCTCATGTTTGGACTTCTCATTGGAATGGCTGGAGCTGATTTTAAGCTGCAGTGTTGCTGCTTTCAAACTGATGACTAATTTGGTGTGAGAAACTAATTAACATAATAAACTAGTCTAGACTTCAGACGTGATCTCAGGCTTCTCATTTGCTGTTGCAAGCTCTCCTTTGCCTTCAGAAGAAAAAAAAGACTTCTTTTCACTTCCTCAGGAATAAATCAGGCAAGAGGTATCTGGGTCGCTCCAAGACACTTGCAACCCACACGTGCCTGTCCTACCTTTTCCCCCTTCTCAGCTCAGAACCAGGCTCTCATGGGTCTGTTTAAGGCTTGGGGCAGGCAGCACCTTGTGCAGTCCTCCTTGTCCTACCAGCTCCCTCATGAAAAGAGCATCCCTGCCCAGCTGTACCCTCCAGCAACAGCAGAGGATTGTGCCAATAGCAGCAGGTTGCAACAATAAGTTCACGTGGGGAGGGCTCCTGAGCTCCAAATAGCATCTGATGTAGGGGACTAATACATGATCTGAGTATTTTATAAGACTGTAACGTAACCAGAGCATGCTACAGGCAAACAGACAGCTGCGTTTTATTGTCCTGCTTCAAATTAAAGGGTAGAGTTTGAAGATGGGGTACAATTTTGCCACAGCAGCGTGACTGCAAGAAACCACATGGCAGTCCTTTGGAAAGCAAAGCTTCCTCTGTCATTTCTGCTGGTTTGGCAAGCACAATTACCAGCCCGTTTTAAAATGTCACCCCAAAAGTCTCATTATCTACAAAGAAAACTCCAAAGTAACTGCAATGGATTCCAGTAGCCCCGGCTGAACTCAAACACCTCCTACATTCGGTGCCACAAACTTCATGTAGCCAGTGGCAGCACTTGCCCCAAAGTGCTCACAGCCAGGATACTGCACCACTCCAACAACCATGGCCTTGTCAAGCCTTCATGCCCAAGACAAGCAAGTCCACCTCCCCTCTGCCTATGCACTTCCACCCAAGACCTATCAAGAAAGAAATGGTGGACAAAGGCTTCTTCAGGAGAAAAAGATAAGAAAACAATTGGTACCTTAGGATCTACAAGTGCTCCAGCCTTGATAAGGTATTTCACAGTTTCCAGATGGTTGTTTTCTGCTGCTTCCATCAGTGGGGTCCTCTGGTCTTCAGAGCAGGAGTCGATATTAGCACCAGCCTGTTAGGAGGCCAAGGCAGATACAAGGACAGTTACAATCACTGCTGGTGAGCAGAGGAAGGATGTGTGAGGAGTGATTTAGTAGCAAGTTTTTTAACTGAAATTTAGCCATATTGAGCAGGGGAGAAGAAAAGAAAAAGGAAATAAACCCAAGAAAGACAGTGCAATTCCACCTGGTTTGGGAACCAGCACACAATGCCTGCCCTCCCCCCTGCCTTCTACAGCCAGTAACCAGGGCATAAGGAAGCCAACAACCGGTATTAAATAGCTCTTGTTATTAATGGATTTTGTACTGCTACTTTCTAGGTATCATTTGGGAAAAATGAGCTTCCTCCTTTCTCCAGCAGCTTTGATTTCCCTGGTCTGTAATTTCTATGGACACAATGAACAAAGCAGCCAGCTCTTCTCTATGTCACAAGCAGCGGGAACAACTTGCTGATTGCAACAGAGGTAGAAGCTGTAAAAATACTCCTGGAGATTGTCTAGCTATTCCTGTGCAAGTCAATGGCAATGTTTCTGCAGAGGTCTCTGAGCATAGGTCAGTTCAGTTCTCAGTTGAGCATGGAGTGCCTTGAACCAAAATCTTACTCTTTTCCAAAGTACTCCTGTGTTGTGTGTCCTGCCTGCTTTAACTCTTTAGCTTAGCTCAGGAACCCACCCAACACCTAAAACCAGATCTCTGAGATAGCCCAACTGCTGGCAGGTCACACATGCAGGTACACGTGTGAAGCACAGACTTGCTTACAGCAGCGACATGCTGACTCAGGTTCACCCCTTCCAGGTGCCTCCCACTGACTGCATGTGTTTTGTTCACTTTAAAATAGCAGGAGCTACTTAAACCAGACCTGAGAAGATGCATTTCAAGTTTAACAAGCTGGGGACATGCCCAGCCAAATCCTGTTCTACTGCAGTAGTCAGACATGAGGGAAGAGACAAGATGATGAAGGATTCTGGAAACAAACCAACTCTACTGATACTTAATTTAAGTTGTTTGTAGTAGCTCAAACATTTTACTCCTTTTACTCATACAAGTCACTCTGCTGTCTTCACATGCAGTAACCTGAGTGAGAGCAGCAGGGTAGGCCCATAGCTGCATCTTCAAACAGCACTTTGTAAGTCTCTGACTCCTGATGCTGAAATGCAGGAACCCAGAAGGCTTGTTCTCAAAGCCATGGCATTGCTGCTTTCTCAAGAGCCCTTTAAGGTTTCCCAGTCACACAGGGTAAACAGAGCATCCCTCCAGTCACTCCAGGTGATAAATGGCAGGACAAAAAGGAAAAACTTTAAACTTTTTAAACCTTTCTTTTTCCTTCACATCATTTTGGAGTGGATTCAACAAAAGCACCCCTATGTCTTCGACCATCTTCCCTCCATTAGAATCCAAATCTCAGACAAGCAGCTAAACTTGCATCTGCCCTTCTCTCCTTCCCACATGCAGGACCTTTACCCTGTAGAGGAAAATCCTGCTGGATTTACTCAAGTTTTGATGGCAGGGAAGACAGACGCTGGCTGCCAGGCTCCAGAGCCTACCTGCCTTTGTCACAAGGAGCCTCTTGGCAGCACCTTGCAGATGCCCTGCAGACTGCCTGCGGTTCACCTGTGCTGGCATATCTGGCAGCGCACCACTGCTGGATGAGATGGGCACATAGGCTCCTACACGCTGCACAGTGCCCTGCACTGAAGCTTCACATACTTTTGCCATGTGGGCAGGAGACCAGAAACCACAGAAAATGGCTTGTATAGCAGAACAAGTGGAGACAGACCTGAATCAGCATATGGCAGATGTCCACATGGCCAGACTCGGCGGCAGCATGGAGAGGGGTTCTCTTACTCTGATGCTCCATTTTAAAGTTGGGGTCAATGCCGTCCACTGGAAAACAGAGCAGGGATGTGTTCAACCACCATTCAGAGATGAGAGAAAAGGGTAACAGAAGAACCAGGTCTCAACTAAATCCTTTTAAAGGACAGGTTCCTGGCCCATCCTCAGCCCTTCTCATGTCTCACTACCCATTCACGCCAGAAAACCCTCATGGCACCCATGGACATTCAATATGCAACAGCCCTCAAACCAAGAGCTTCAGAAGTTTAAAACCTTTAAGCCATCACAATTTCTATACAGGCCTTCTCCTTCTACACAGAGTGTCTCCCCATCCCTGGCAATGTTCAAGGCCAGGTTGGACACAGGGGCTTGGAGCAAGCTGCTCTAGGGGAAGGTGTCCCTGCCCGTGGCAGGGGTTGGAACTGGATGAGCTTTAAGGTCCCTGACAACACAAACCAGGCTGGGATTCTATGATTCAGATTCACAATTCACCATTTCTCAGTGCAACAAAACCAACAAACACTATACAAAAAGGAAAACAAAAAAACTGCTTTGTTTAAAGCAAGAGAAGTTGGAAACACCAAAGAGTCAGAACCACCTGGCCTAATCACTAGTAAATCCAATTAATAGCAGTGATCCTCGCTGCATCCTTGCAAACACAGGGCTACAAAGTGGATGGAGCTTCTCCAACTACCAGAAGCTGGGGATGTGACCAGAGACTCTCACAGCTGTGCAAAGACTGACAGATTATGATGACAGCCAGACAAAGATGTCTGGGCATGATAACATGTTGCATATGATGAGGCTGTAGTTAAATATCAATGAGTAACACTTTTGTGCTATTGAAGACACGAACAATGAAGCTAACACTTGGTAGATGGAAAAAAAAGAAGAATCTGATAAATGAAAAGAACAGAAAGCATCCAAAAATGTACTGCAAAGTACTAGAGTGGAAAGGAAATGATCCCAAGGAAACAGTGTGTCCTTCAAAAGGGAGATTCCTCAGGAATATTTGTGGGTAAAAACAAGCTCAGCAGCTAAAAGTCATCTGGTGACAGACAACTATGTACCCCCTAAACAAACCCTTTGTATTGAAAGGCTCTTCCTTTCTGCTCTGCTGCTGATGGACCTCACCATAAGCTGACTCCCATCTTTTTACCTCCCTACCGGATGCAAGTACCTAACCATCCCATTGCATGGAGAGGAAAAGTTCCATCAGACTAGAAACATTACATGTAGGTGTTTTGGGGACAGAAAGAGCTTCTCTGGATAAAACTGGGCCCAAATGTAGAAACAAGCTGGGAGCAGGTCCGCATTTCACAGAAAGATGAAGCCATTTCCAGTGACACATCACTTGCAGAAATGGCTTTCTCCTCCAACTCCACTCACAAGGGGCAGTGGGGAAGATGACGTGCTGCCATGCTGGGAAGTGGACTCTGGCAGCTGCCTGGCAGGAGCTGGGAGTACTGCCAGACACACAATGTCCTGGGAAGGAGCCACCTACCCAGCATAAGCAGGACTTTTTGTAGCTCTCCTTGCCTCGCAGAGAAGTACAACTGCTTGGGATGGAACCGTAACTTCTTGGGCCTGCAGGAGTGGGAAAAAGAGGCACAATTAATACCCACTGAAGAACATTTTTGGCATCTCACCCCATCCCACTGCTAGCCCATGCGCATGACAAAGTGTGTTCCTGCGGAACACCTCCGGAGCACCAGCAAAACACAGAACAAGGCTCCAGAAGGAGATCTAAAGATCCAGTTCCAGCTGCAGCCAGCCTTGTTCTAATGAGAACTGTTACCCATGAGTGCTGCTCATCAACAAATTCTGGGTATTACAACTGTAGCTATGGTTGGAGGGCAGTGAAAAACTAAATCCTCCAGACAAATCACTGAGAGCTATAACTGTTCTGAATCAGTCATTGGGGGGGGTGACAAATGACTGAAGTGAACAAGAAAAGGTCTGAGCGGGACCACCATCCACAGAAGCTAAATCTCAGTCTCCTACTAGGTTAAGCAACTTTGCTGGGAATTGGAGAGACACAATGGTCTGTTTCTTACTTTTCCGAGTCCAGGGCAATCAGGGCACTTTCCAGAGTTTCTTTAACTGGTCCCTGGGTCAGGCTGGTAGAAGGCTTTGGGAAAACTGAAGACCCAGCTATGTCAAACCCCTCAGCAGCTGAACTTTCTGGCTTGTCTTCCTCTGACAACCGCGTCCCAGTGGCACTGAAGAGACAAAATGAGAAACAGCCAAAGCATAACCATTAAAAATACCCAGCAGTATGGATCTCGTGCCAAAGAAGGGAAGGAAATGGAGTTTAAATAAGTGTAAGTGAAATTGAAACACAAACCAATGTATTTTACAGCCTTTCTGGTAAGAACTTGCCCCAGGAAGTTGCACTGCCTATGAGTATATTTTGATGTATTCTGTGCTACAGGAAACCAAGGAATGTGCGGAAACAAGGAACATAAAGGCCACCAGAACAGATCAGACAGAAGTCAGAGCACTATTCAACACACGGACGGCTGTTTTTTTCCTCTGCATTTTCATCCTCTCTTTATACTTGTGCCAATTTGTGCAGGGCAGGAGCTACAGCTAGGTGTTGCCTCAATTTCCCTGTCACTTAGCAGACCTGGCGACATAAACTTATTCCACTCTTATTCCATTCTTAACAATAAGAGGAAGGGATGGTTTTGACTCCTGAACCCCTCCTATCTTCATAGCTCACCCTGCAGCCACTGCACTCTTCTCCAACACAGCAAGCAACACAAAACACACCTGCAGATTCCTGCAGCTGAGTTTGGCTTGTCAGAGAAGGAGCAGAAAGCACTTTGCTCCATCAGGAGCATCCAAATGCAAAGCATGGTCTGGCACAAGATTTGAGATCACTGTGTGCTCCCAGGCTCACCTCCCTGTCGTGGTGTCAGCCCTTCCCTCCACAGAAGCTGGTTTCTGCTGCTCGTAGGTCAGGGACACCGTTGAGGTTGTGTCTGCTTTTGCTATTGTCACCTCCTTTGCCTTGGAGGCCTCTTCCCCGCAGTGTGGGCAGTAGCTCATGTCGTTGACCTGGGAGGCACAGTTCTTATGGAAACGGTGGGAGATGCTGCTCTCCGGCTGACACTCCATGAAAGTGCCCTAAAAGAACCATAGAGAAGAAATTCACACCTTGGTCACTTCGTGCCTTACCCCTTCCACATGCTTCATCCACAGATCTCTTAAACACTTCATTCATCACCACTCTTGTCCCTGGCGCTTCCAATACAGTAAGCAAGCACTGCCACTTCTTTAGAAGAGAACAAAACCAAGTTAATGGGGAAAAAACTTGGTTAAGGACTGCAAAGCAAGTTCTTTAGCTGTGCTTGGGAAACAGAAGCAAGAAGTTCCGATTTCCAGCTCTTTCATCTAACGCTTAAGTTCTCGCTTATGCTCCCAGAAGTGCCAGTGTACTGTAAGGATGCCCCAAAACTGGAAGAGAAAACTTCAGACCTGTGTGCTAAGGCAGCATTAACACTACCCGACCAAGCTGTGCACCAACCATTCCAGGACCTCCATGAGCACAAGTAAACCAGCTCTTAATCCCCATGTAACCTCAAGTATGTGACTTCTCTGCCTGGCCCCTGTCTGCTGTTTAACCCCAACAACGTGGCTGACTGCTCCTTCAACAGACTTGCCCTAAAATTATTTTCCCTTTCCAGCAAAGTGTTTCAAACTGAACTGAAGGACCCCAGAACTCAGAGCCCTGTGATATCCGTGCTACCTGAAGCCCTGCTGTGCTCTGTGCTCTTAGTGATGGAGAGCACAGACAAACCCCCCCAGGTTTACCTGTGAGCTATGGGAACTACATGAACCACGGCTGGTCACTGAGATGTACAAGTGTGTGAGAAAAGACTAGTTAAACCCCACTCTTCTCCTGAATTCATGGCCCTCCCAAGCAATCTAATTAACTCTGTATCAACTCTGCGAAATGCCTTGAAGGGTTTTGTGGATGTTAGCCATTAAATGATCTTTGACTCAGCATGGAACCCCAGGATGGCTCCATTTACACAGCAATGTTTGAGCCTGCTGTAGCATCTTTCATTGATTCATCTTCAAGAACACTGGCATCAGACTATTAATCCTCCTCACACCCGTGAGGCCCTCAATTGGTGTTTTTCAGCTTTACCAACAGGGAAACTAAGATGCTGACAAAGTACTGGACCATTAAAAGCCTCAGTGGCAGAGGTGGAAGATCTCAAACACTGCCTTGTTCCAGTGCCATCACTCAGGTTCCCATCTAAACCATCATGGGCAGGTGGGGGAACACTGATGTGTGCACACAGATTCATTTACAAACCAAGCTAATACAATTTCCGATGCAATTGATCTGTACACAGAAAAAAAAACAACCCAAACAATCCTTGTTCCAAAGAAATTCCTACGGCAAAACTTCCACTGTGCCAATTCCCAGTGAAAACCCTTCAGTAACACTCCTTGGGGTCTCCAGGAAGATAAAGGTGACAATTGCAGCTACACGTTCCTGTTTGAAAACACCACCTGATGTGCTGTGGAACAAGGTGGAGCTGATGCCAGGAAGTCAGTAAACCCCTGTAGGCACCACTTCCACCTTCAGCTCTTCCAGCTACTGCGACAGGTACCCCCTTCCCTAGATTGAGAGCACGGACTTACTGCAGTGCAAAAGTATCCACAGCCAGGGCAACACTGGTGTTTCACCATCCTCCCTCTATGGTCCTCACACAGCACCAAAAGCTGGACTTTGTTAGACGGGCGCATCAGTTCATACTTAACCACACTGTTTGTGCATCGGCCCAGCTGGAACAGGAGAAATTAAAGGAAATGAAATTACTGGAGACCAAAACACTCTCTGTGCTTGTGCGGAGGAAGATCCTGCACGCTGCCTTGGTGAGCCCTGGCTTGTTCACAGTAATTCAGACGTGTGCCAGATAGCATTAGCAGTGCAGCAGGAAGCTGGGAAAGCTGCTCTCACAGGAAGAAATGCATCATTTACTAACTAACATGCATGTGGACCCTGAGTCGTTTGTTCCTCGCAAGAAAAAAAGGGCTTTAACTGGAAATAGGCAGCAGCCAAGCAGCAGCAGAAGGGGCAGTCCCAGGGGCCTGACTCACCCAGCACAGCTCTCGGCTCACCAGGAAGAGCTGGGTGTTGGTGACCACGAGAACAAGACCATATGCACTAAATCTTGTTACTGCTCAAAAGTTAAGTCACAGGAAGATAAAGGAAAAAGTAATTGCTCTTCATTGCCAGTGAAGTTATCATCTCTGCTGGTTCCAGCACTGGTCCCTGCCCACACCACAGGGGTGAACAGTGAGAGCTCCAGGTGTTTTCTGAAGGGTTTCACCAATGTACAGCTCTGGGCTTTAAAAGCTGCCTTCTGTTCACTACCCTGTTCTGTTAAGACAGTGGGCTGCATAACTGGGATTCACTCTTCCCAATCAGTGTTACTCAGAAGCATCAGCTCTTCCTCCCGCTGTCCCCAGTCACACAACCACAACCTCTGCACATCCCAGTTGCCACCTGCATGACACAACGCTGTCTGGGTTCCCCAAGTTCCCCCTGATAACAACCTTGGCTTCCCCAGGTGCTTGGCAAAGGACAGTTACAGAAATACAAACGTGAAAGGCTGCTACAAGGACATGTCCCTGCTGAAACCAGTGCACCATTTACTGTGTGCTGCCATAGAGCCCATGGGGAACACGGTGCCTGCTCATCACCAACAGCCTGTCTGAGCTGAGGTTTCATTTTGCTGCTTTTTCTCAGCAAAACTAGACTTCCTCTCCAGTTTTTGTTTTAAACTCCACTTCTGCACAATCAACACCCCTGCCAAAAGACAGGATGGATTTTAACTTTGGCTCATCCTTCACCCCTCATATCTTTGATCCAACTTAACGCAAATTCCACTGCAAAGTCTACCTGTGGTTTGGACACCTTGGCTACACTCATCACTGAGACACCCAGAGCCCCGGGGCTGCAAGGGTGGCCAGAGAGGACCATGCTTTGATTTCTGCTTAGGAGCTGAGGAAATGGGATTAACACGTGCAAAGCTGCATGTCCCAGTGAGGCAGTCCCTGCATCATCATGTCACGCTGTATTACTTGTTAGAAACTCTAATGGAGTACAAAATGATCAATTGCCATTTTCCAACCATCAGAGAGTGCAGCAAGGTGCTCAGCACTGTTTCTAACATTCTCCAAGGACATGACAGGCTGGAGAACCCACTATTCACATGGATAACATAACATCTATGAGTCACTTATCCCACTATGAAAAAGAATCTGACATAAAGCATGGCATTTGCTATTCCTGTCTGATTTAACCAGGGTCAGAACTGTCAAACCACTACAGAGACAAGGAGAAACTCTTTCATATACCTTTAATTTTACATTTAGAAGCCCTGGGGTCCCCCTCTCCCGAGTGTCCAGAGCATTCTCTCTTTAATGAATCTATTTGGAAATTCCTTTCTCTATAGATATCACCAAGTACTAACAGAAGCAGAACTGGGCTGCCAGTCCTTTATTATTTCTTGATTATTCCTTTCTCCCTCCATCCAGCCTTCTCCTGGGATCCTAGAGGAGAACTAGGGATATTCTCACTCCTTATTCTACTACCAGCAAGTACCAGAGCACTGCAGTGTGACTGCAGCTCAGCTGAAGCTTAAAGGAAACCCAAGTGCCACCCAGTAAAAGGATGATCTCCCAAGACTGTTCCTGTCCTGCAGCCTCACTTTCCAGACTCTGGGAAGGAGTCACTTCTGCCACTTACTTCCACACTTCTGGTCCTAGCAGGAATCAAGTGGCATGTGGACCAAAAGGCATCGAGTGTGATCGTTTCAGCCAGCCAGACCTGGAGGCTGCACAGGGTTGCCTGCACAAGAAGCTTTGTAACAGAAGCCTCTTAGTGAAGGAGGAGGAGGAGGAGAGGGGAAGACTGGGGCAGAACGAGCTGGTGGTGAGCGTGCCAAGTTCCCAAAACTCAAGAGCTGAAGGGCTGCATCAGCTCCTTGGTAGTCAAGGGAAACCAGCTCTGAGCTTCCTCTCATTGGGTTTTCTCTCTGTGATCATGCTGATGTATTTTAGCTCACTTGGCCTGAAGTGTGGCAGTTCCATCAACCTAATCCAGCTGCACAGACCAGGACAAGCAGGAGGGATCCACCCAGAACCTCTCCTACTGCGGATCACGCCATCTCCTCCCTTTGAGGCCTTCAACCCAGCCATGCAACACATGCAGAGTGCTGGAGCCCTCAGCTTAGCGAGCAGGACGGCCCTGCTGTTGCCACACTCCAGTGGGTTCCCAGCCTAGCAGGCTCAGAGCCCTTGTGTGACCCAACACAATGTTCCTGGGACACCCTTTGATTCTTTATGTCTTTGTCCTGAGCAGCAAAGTCTGTGAGAAGCTAGAAGACAGACTCCTACCTCATTGTCCATGCTCTCTGTGGCCATGCACTGGTTGTTGGCTAGCGTGGTGATCTCTCTGCTTTTGGGGGTTTCCATTCGACAGCTACAGAGGGGGACTTCCTGGAGCCCATCTACTTCCATTGCTTCAGGACCATTGGAAAGACCTAGAATGCAGAAGACCAATAAATCAACTCTGAAACTCACTTCTAGGAGAAAGGATACATCCACCAAGCCCACCCGCGTCCTGTGGCACTTAAGCATTCCACATCCTGAAACACTCTCAAGGCATTATCCAAATCCTGTAAACCATTCTTACACCAGCTGGAGTTGGCAAAAGCATCCTGTTCTTTCCTACAGATGACTGTGCTGACATCATGAGTAGTAAGTTACAAACAGTTTACTCAGAGAAAGGAAAAGCAACGATGAAGTGCAGATTCTTATCACTCTTCCCACCTGCCCCACAACACTGCTCTGGCACTGGAAAAGTTGCTGGAAACAAGGCAGAGATGGAAATCTAAGTGGTTAGCGGAGTGATAAATAGAGAAGAGCAGGAAAGCACAAACTTCTATTTGCAGAGGCTTATTACACAGATGGGAAAACAACATTCCTGGGACGATTTGCTCTCAGCCAACCAAAATTGATTTCTTTTGGACAGGGAACAAACCAGGGAAAAGAAAGCAGCAAGATGCTCGATGTTCTTGCCTTCTCCTCATCTCTAGCTCTCAGATTCTGGACATTTCTAAAGCTATTTAAAGGTGGGCAATGGCTTTTGAGTGGGCTCACCACCAGATGTGGGGGCACAAACTGAATGTCCTTATAGTTCCTCTGGTTTCAACTCAATCTCTGTCCTGCCAACAAAAGGGTTGCTCCTAGGCCTGCACTCCTATTCTGTTCCTACACAGTCGTACCATCTCTTTGCAGTATTTTCACCACAAAAGCAAAACCTCATGTATTTATCTGCCTCTGGATTGGGTCACCCTGATGTGTCCCAAGCTATCCCTATCACAGCTCTACGATGGGATTAAGTCCCAGGGAGAAGGAAGCTCCTATTTCTTAAGCTTTTGAAAGGATTTATTTTGCTGCAAAGTGTCAAAGATTGACTTAACTCCTGAGGGAGATTCCTCTTTGGCTGCCCTGGCAATGGCACCATTCCCCCCGTAGCATCTCCCCCAGCCAAGTACAAGCCCCTTTCATCCCATAAGGAGTTTCCTTTAGCCAACAACATGCAAGCTCAAGCCTAGGGAAGGGATGGGATATTTCAAGCTATACAAGCAGAGAAAGTCCTTGCAGTTTTCATGTAAAATCCTGTCAAGATGTTAAAGGTTTAAGAGCTTTTTCTAGGACCACAAATCACAAAGCTCATCCCTCGCCTTCCGAGCTGTCACCTTCATAATCTTTCCGACATGCAGAGGCTCTGGTGAAAGCATCCCTCATCCGCACTGACCCTCCCGTGGCGGGGAACACTCCCACCTGCTCTTTGATGTGCCTCTATCAAAAGAGCCAGACAACCTCTGAAAGTGAAAGAGCGATGGGGAGGGAGGGGGTTGCAGACTGAGGGATCCAGGTCAGCCAGGAGGAGCTGGATCCGCAGTGTTCAGCACTGGGAACAGCGGCTGGGAACCAGCACCCAGGAACCTGTGTTAGCCCGTCCTCTTCCCAGGGCTGAGCAAGACTACCCAAGGGGCAGTGGCAGTGACGTGGGGAGATGCCGTATGAGCATTCTTCCAGGAATGGAGTTGTTGAGCAGGAAAGGAGGGCTGGGAGAGCACCCTGGAGCCCTTCATGGGTATCTACCAAGCTCCACCCATGCCTGGCTCCCCATCCTTGCCGCCATTCCCATCCCTATTTTCATCCCCACCTCTGTCTCCATTCCCATGCCCATTTCTGTCTCTGTCAACATCGCCATCACTGTCTCTATCCCCATCCCTTGCCTCTGTCCCCATATCCATGCCTCCATCCCACCCCTGCTTCCATCCTGTCTCCATCCCCATTCCTGTCCCATCCTGTCTCTATCCCCATCCTCATTTCCATCCTCAGCCCCATCCCTCTCTCCTCCCTGTCCCTACCTCCATCCCCATCCCCAATCCTACCCCTCTCTCCATCCCCATCCCCATCTCCATCCTCACCCCCATCCCTCTCTCCTCCCTGTCCCTACCTCTATCCCCATTCCCATCCCATTCCCATTCCCATTCCGGCTCCGCAGCCGCCAGGGGGCAGCCGGGCCCCGGTGCGCCCGGTGGAACAAAGCCCCGGTGTGGGGGTCCCGGTTCCTCGGAGCGGGGGCAGGGGGGGCTCGGTCCGGGGGGCCCCACTCACCTCCCGCCGGCGAGGAGAGGATTCCCTTCACCCGGAGATCCAGGGAATCCAGGGACACCTCCATGTACTCCATGCTGTTCTCCTGGCCAGGGCCCTCTCTGCCTCCCAAGGATGATTTATAAGCTTCGGCACCTTGATGGAAACACACACGTATTTACACTGCTAAAACCAAGGATTAACAGGAAAACACCCAACTGGCTGCAAGCATGTGCGGGTGTGAGAGCCATGTTTAAGCCAGTAGGCTGTATGCAGGCTCCTCAGAGAGGCCAAGAGTACAGATGCACATGGAATTATGGAAATGCAACATCTGGGCACGATCGACCTCTTAATTCCTCCCGTCTGATCAGACAGAATTCCCACTTCCACTTAGGCAGGTAACAACAAAAGAAGAACAAATGAGACAAGCTGTGTCTCTGAAAGGCACATCTGCCTGCTGCTGTACTGCTTCGGCTGCAGAGGCTTAAATGGCACAAGAAGGGATGAAACTAGGGCTGAGGCATCCTCCTGCCTGCAACCTGCTGCAAAGGGCTCCGGGTAACCTCCAGCCAGGCAGAGCCAACCAGCTCGTCACGGATGTCACCAAGAGGATGAGCCAGGGAACGTACAGCTTAATGGGAGGGGAAAACCAGAAAAGGGAAGTTCTGGCTCTAAGTGAACAAAGCTGCTGCTTGGGAAGAGATTGTGTGGGGATCCCTCAGAGCCTTCATGGGAATTGTCAAACTCTTTGCATTCCCTTGGCTTTGCTTCCTCTCCTGGGTTGCTTCTCCCACTCTGGCTTGGCCAAGAGACTTTCCTAAGCCTGGAAGACTGGCTGCCACCTTCACTGAAGGGGCAGCAGCCCAGTCTGCATCTGATACAAAGAATTAGCTATTAGCTCTGAATGGGATCAATGGCCTCTACTTTGTCTTGAGAAAGGGGCTGGTTTGGGAGAAAGAGGAGCAAGGCAGATGACAGCCAAACCCCAGGCACAGTCCAGAGACTGAAACGTGGTCCTTTAGCTACTTCTGGTTACTTTAGAAGTAGCCACAAATCTGCTGATAAAAAAATGGCCTGTTTGCAAAGAATTAGCAAGCACAGAATAAACCCTCTGAAGGAGATGGATGTGTGAAACCTTCAAAATGAAGCTGAAAGCACAGCTTCACTTCAGAGACTACCCACTTATTTTTACTCATGTCATTACCTTTCCTGATGAAGTGTCCCTTCCAGCCTGCACTCCTGTTCTCCCCAGCCCACAGCTCTCAGAAGACAAAGGCCACTGAAACCTCCTTTTGAGCACTGGGTAACTTGAGTGAAACAAGAACAACCACCTGAACATCACCCACACCACGAGAGGGGCCAGAGAGGCAGCTCATTACACATGCTGTGGTGCACACATAATCTGCATTATGTGTGAATATAACAACGGCCATTCCGTTCAGCGGGACAAACATCCATACAAAGCAACTGAGCATCACTGTTGGGTGGCTCTTCTTTTCCCTTCTGCATCTAACCACGCTCCCTGAGCTCATGGGACATGAGTCCACATGGACATGAGTCCACAAGGTGTTTATTTTAGATACTCTCAGGTTAAAGGGAACACATGAATAAAAAGATATTCTTCCAGCATGACAAGGATAAAGCCACCTCATGTGTTCTGCTGTCAGGGAAGATGCAAGTTCACGCATGGGTTTGTCATACAGCCCAAAAGGATGCACAGAATCATAAAATCGTTTGGGTTGGAAAGGACCTTAAGATCAACTACTTCTAACTGCCCTGCCATGGGCAGGGATGCTTCACCTTAAACCATGTTACCCAAGGCTCTGCCCAACCTGGCCTTGAACACTGCCAGGGATGGAGTATTTCCCACTTGGGCAACCTGTTCCAGTGCCTCACCACCCTGCAGAGCAGGCTCTGCAGCCAGCCATTGCCCCATGGGCCTCAGGCCCTTACCCCTCCATGTGGAAGGCTGATTTCTGTGCAATTCAGGACCAAAACACCACGAGTTACCTAGCACACTGGCTTGTTTCTTTCTATTCCTCCGTCTCCTCTTGCGGGTGGGTTTCAGCCATGGACTCTCCGTCTTTCCTTTCCTCTTCAGCAGCTTCTTCTTGACGCTGGACTCGGAGCTCTGAATAACCAGAGAGGCCACGTGCATGTAAGGCATGTTGGCAGCAGCGTCCCAGCAGCCCTTCGCGCCCATGCGGAAGAGCCTTCCCGCAGCTTGTGTTGTGTGCAAAGGCCTGAAGGGCTGGGGGTTTGCAATCAAGTGGTGCTGAGATGTCTTTACAGCGCCGAAAAGGAAACACAAGCACACGTGTGGGTGCATTTCCTGTCATTTCAAGAATGCTTCACTTTCTCTTCCATGTAGGTTCTTAACACCACACTCATCGCAGTAGTAGCCGAGCACCTCGGCGCAGCAAGGCAAGTAACAGGCACACGCACACTTCCAGCTTCTCCCCAGAAAAACGGTGGGGTTTTCCAACTCAAATATTCACACTGCTCCACAGTCGTGCTACGAAATGTCAACCAAAACCCACCCTGCACCTGAAGAGCCACCTTACAGGGTTGGGATGAACCCAATGGAATCAAACGCTACAGGAGCAGATCAGCCCCTTCCCCTGAGCAAGGAACAGGGCAGCACAGACTAGTCATGCAGCACATCTTCAGACATATTTACGTATCTAAACAGGCTGTTGGTTTAAAAAAGAAATACAGTTGTCTGGGGTGGGTTTTCAAAGTCACCATAAGAACGGGTAACCAGGCACCCGACCCTGTAAGGCAGCGTTCAACACATCATCGTAAAACCCACATTCCAACTGAACCCATCAGCTCCTGATGCTTATCCATCTCCCACCAAAGCCTACGAAAAACCTCCTGCTACCATGAAGAGTGGCTGGATCAGGCCCTACCTGCATGGGAAGCCGATGCTGCACCATGCCCTGTTATCACAGGGAGCGATACAGTGGTGCTGAGCCCTGGCTCTCTGCGGCAGCTCTGCACCGTGTCTACACTGTCCCCAATAACTGTCCCCAAGCGAGGGCTCAGTTGTGCCCCGCCACGTGGCTTACACCCATTGCATCACTCTGCTTGTGGGGGAGAGGTTTGCATTTGGGCCAGTCCCTGTCTGGGGAACCAAATGATTCACCAGAGATGTGAGCAGAGCAAAAACCACCATCTGGGATGGGGAGATCTGACCTGGGAGCTGGGACTTGACTGCAAGCTCAAGCCTTGGTTCGAGCTAACGCCACACACTGGCTTCAGCTACCCAAAGAGAGGGTCAGGCTACACAGCTCCTGCTGCTCGGTCCTCTCTGGCTCCTGTAGTGTCAGAGCACAGGGCACAGACCCTACAGAGCTCTGATTCACTTGGTAGAGTTGGTTCTACCTTCAGCAAAAACATCAAGAAATGAAGCCAAGAATTTTTTCAAGGTGACTGAAGAGTTGGGGTGCCTTAAATGCTGGCTCCTCAACTTGAGGTGCTGTGGAAAGGAGCACATTTTAAGTAAAGGGGAGGGTGGGAGACAGATACAATCAAAGAGCAACAACTGAGGTTTAAAAACTAAAGATCAGGTTCTCTTCACCTGCTAAATACAAAGCACAAATCACCAGCAGCTCATGAAAGTCTTGCCCTAGTACAAGACCAACAACCTCACAGGGAGGGACTGTCTCTCTGTGTGCTGTTTTTGCATGTCTCCCCAGTAAGATCTGCTCATCTGGTACCCTGAGGTAGCATGTCAGATCAGTGTGCATTTAAGCTCTGGGCTGGGCCAATGGGTTTGTGAACAATCCCACCTGAGCTCCACACAGAGCTGCAGGGTGTTGAGAAACCATTGCTGGCTCCTGCCTCATGCCAAGTCTGTTTCTGAAGGCTTGAAGCACTCTCAAACACTCCTAACATTCAGTGACTGACAGCACTGAACACCTTGTTGGAAACACCAAAAAAAGCCCAATAATTAGCATCAGGAAGCAATGAACTTTACCACAGATCAGGGTTGAGCACCTTGTGGAAAACATTACTGTGTGGGGGTGGTTTCAGAGTGAGTTTTGTCAGAGACATGAAACCCCACAGCTTTGTGCTCTCACTCCCTTTGGCAGGGGAGCGAAGGGAAAATTAACAACAGGGCAAAGGCTGAAAGACACAATTAGCAGCCAGGCTTACCAAGTCAGACTCATCTCCATCTTCCTCCTCCTCCAGAGACTCTACAGACTCTTGTTCCTCCTCAGACTCGCCATCGTCAATCTGCAACCACCATTTGCCCAAGAACAGAAAGAGTCAGTCAGGTCAGGGCTCTCAGAGCCAGGCTGGACAGGACTTGGAGCAAGCTGCTCTAGTGGAAGGTGTCCCTGCCCATGGCAGGGAGTTGGAACTGGATGAGCTTTAAGGTCCCTTTCAACCCAAACCATTCAAGCATTCTATGGTCCCCACACTGCACTGCTGGGCCCCCCACCCTGCAGAGCATCCCCCCACCATGCTGCAGCACCCAGGCCCAGCCTGCATGTGAACTAACATAACTTCTTTGCCAGGATGAGAACTCCAAGGCTGTTAATGCATGTCATGATACGTCCAGAAGGATGGTACAGGGGAAAACAAAATTCAAGTCCAGAAGAAAGTTTTCCAACCAAACCTTAACTTCCTTGATTATCCAAGCCCAGCCTCACACCTACACTGTCTATCATGATTTGGGAAAAAATGAACTAAATCCATTTTAGTGCTTTAGCAGCCTGTTACAAGCAAGAATAGGAATACAGCCTGGTTTGTGTTGGAAGGGACTTTAAAGCTCATCCAGCTCCAACCCCTGCCACAGGCAGGGACACCTTCCACTAGAGCAGCTTGCTCCAAGCCCCTGTGTCCAACCTGGCCTTGAACACTGCCAGGGATGGGGCAGCCACAGCTTCTCTGGGCACCCTGTGCCAGCGCCTCAGCACCCTCACAGGGAAGAGCTTCTGCCTAAGAGCTCAGCTCAATCTTCCCTCTTGCAGGTTAAAGCCATTCCCCTTGGCCTGTCCCTACAGACCCTTGTCAAAAGCCCCTCTCCAGCTTTCTTGGCCTCTTTAGGCACTGGAAGAGAACATGTCTCTTACTGGTTCAGTAAATTCCATAACTAAATATGGTGGGGGTCCTGCACCTATAGTGGACCACAGACTTATGCAGCGAAACTGAAACTGGGGGTAGGTGGGGAGATTCTCAAAGGTGCAAGAGAGAGCAGGAAATGGTCCTCCAAAGGCCTGGCTACCACTGCTGTGCTTTCTGTCTTCTTGCAGGCTAAGAAAACCTAGAACTGCCTCAACTCCTGCCATTCCCATCCCACCTGCAGTGTCCTACCCACTCCTGCAAGTCCTGCACAGGGCATGTGAATACCTTTCTGGCATTGTCTGCATCACATACGCTGTCTTTAGAGGTCCTGTTATCATCTGCAGGAAACACAGCTGCCTGTTCTGCTCCATGATCATCGTCCTCTTCCAACTCATCAGAGTCTTCCTCTTCAGAGTCTACATCTAGGCTTTCCCCATTCACATGAGGGCTGGCATCACCCAGGTCCTTTTCACTCTGAAAGTTGTCCAAGCACATGAGCCACAAAGACAACATCAATTCAGAGGACAGAGCAGCCAAATCCATCCTAGACCTCTTCTGTGCTAGGAGCCTTCAAGCTACCAGGGGAAAGCTGGCTCTATGTCCCTCCAGAGCTCTTCTAAGCTGCCAGCAAAGCCAGCCAGAAAGCCTGCCATGTGTCACCTAACCCTGTGGATCCAGGAACCAAGGAACCATGAAGAGTCAGTCCAGACTCATGTGGTTGTAACAAGACATTGAGCGGAGGAGAGCTGCTGGGCAGGAGCCTTCAGACAGACCCCTGCAGTCCAATGCAAACATGGAAGGGCAGCTCTACCAAGGATGCAAGAAGGTTTCTAGGGAATGGAGAGGGATTTTCACTCCGCTCCATGAAAGCCTAGCACTGTTCTTCCTGAATTCAAAGACCAAAACCTCAGGGCATGGGCTGCAGCAAAAGCAGGATCTGACCAGGAGTGAGTCCCTGTCTAAACCTTTTTAAGCAACCAGCTGTTTTGTTGTATAGCCTAAAGCAGTAACACCACAGTTATGGGCAGGATGCTGTTGCCAGAGAGAAGATGCAGATTCAGAATGGAAGATGCTGACCACAGCAAGCCAGCACATCCCTGAGCCTACACAGGGGTTGGTGTGCCGGGAGAAGGGATGTGTATGGTGACAACAAACCATGCCCAGTGGGCTCAGCACTCCCCTTACCTTGACACCTGCAGAGGAATGAGTTATGCTCTTAAACATCTCAATCATTGTTCTCTGTTTTAACACTTTGGTCTTTTTCTTGGGAACCAGGCTATAGGTTCCCATTCTCCGTTTTTTCTTCCGAGATACTGCAGCAGCTGGAAAAGAGAAGCAGAAGAAGCCCAAAGTTTGCTCAGGAATGAGAAGAAGATGGGAAAGAGAGTAGAGGCTGTACTGGGAGCAAGAGGTTTCCCACTCCAACTGATTTATTTACAAGTCAACCAAAAGATGACACACTCATATGTACAAACACACAAAGAGCTTTCTGCCAGTGCTGCAAAGTCACCCAGATTCTGAGTGTCCTCTCCACACTCCTCCTGGCCCCTACATCACCATACACATCAAATCCTTAACTTAGCCTGTGTTTGGCAGTACTGCTGATGCTGTAGGAGGCTGAATAGAATCCAACTTGCTCAAATAGATACTGCAAGACTAATAATACCAACATACAATGAAAGCAATCGCCTAGTAAGTGAGGAACACACAGGGAACAGGTATCTTAAATAAAGAGCTTTTGCCATTTAACCTCCTTTCACACCTACTATGGAAGTTTGTTTGATTCCTTTCACTTCTTCGATTGGGTCTTAATTTGTTAAGCCTCCCTCCTGGCCTTCTAATCAAATCAGTCATCACACCTCACTGCCTGGTGCTGTCTTTGGTGAATACACATCAGAAGGATGCTTAGTGCAGGCTCTTTTAAGAACAGCATACAGCAGGGAACAGCCAGCTTCAGCACCAGGGTTATTGTGTGCAGCAGTACAGCCTGTTCCTTGAGAGCATTTCTTCATCTTCCACTACGATGGAATTTCACCAAAAATCCCCTTTTGGAATTTAACCAAGAATTCCCTCCCTTGACCTGCTGCTGATGCTGCTGGAGATGCAGCCCAGGACACTACAGGCTGTACAGTTCATGGTAAGCACTTGTTGCAGTGATACATGAAGCCCTCAAGAACTGACAGAAACATTAGCAATATCACATAGGAAGATGGGATGAAAGTGGCTCCTCTAACAAAAACACTGCAGAAGAGTGATCTTCAGCATGACAGAGCAACCTGCCTGCCCATGCTGCCTGGGACAGACCTGCACTCACTGAAACAAGGTGGCACAGGCAGGCCCGAATGGCAGCAGCTCCCTGCAGAGTGGAAAAAGGGTGGACTTCACCTGGGAGGCCACTTTAACAGGGGACTGACAGAACAGACCCTGTACACCACCCCCAGGTGACCAGAAGGGAGTCCAGAGCACACAAGCACCACAACTGCTGTGTGATGGCCACTGGCAGAGAAGTGGCCAAATGACAGAGCAGCTGTCAAACAAGGTCTGTGGCAGCAGCAGCCCTACTGATGCCAACAGGAAAGGAAACCCTGAGGGGAGTTCAGTGGGAAAAAGGTACTGACAGAGGTTTCAGTGCCTGTTAACCCGCCTCATCTCCCATTCACCCACAGACCATTCACCCATGTTTGGGAAGAAGGTGTTGCTCGGGATTGTAACTCTGCCCTTAACTCTGTCCTTCTCACCTGTCTGCGACTTCGTGGTGGCCACATAGCTCTGGTTCTGAGGTAGTGACTGGTGAAGGCCCGGGAGTGAGGGCAACGGCAGCGGCTTCCCAAACTCCAGGACGGTTTTGTTGCCTTCCTCCTTGGGTTCTTTTTGATCTCTGCTGTCTCTCCCATCTTTGGGGTCTTTACTTGCATGCTGGAAAACAAAATGCAGTTAAATTGAGCCTCTGCATCAAATAAAATTAAAATCAATAAACCCATTCCATTCCTTTCTCTCAAACATAATCACTTTCAAAGACAGAACCACACATTCAAAGCAGAAGCACACAGCCCCTTCTCTAACATGTGATGATACTTTGCCTAAAGACTGCAAAACACCCGGTTGGAACTAGATGATCTTTAGGGTCCCTTCCAACCCAAACCATTCTGTGATACTGTGATTCTATGAATAAATACACCTACTCTCTGAAACACATGAGGAGCACGGCTGTCACATCAGGCACACACAACAACAGTCTTGCAGAGACCTTTTGAAAGAGCAGGAGGCAACAGGAAGGGATTTAATGCTTCCTTCTGGACAGTATTTGGTACAACCAAGTCATAGCAAAGGCTTTCAGCTCTAGCCTGGCCCACAGCAGAACACAGGCAAAGACAGTGTTTGCTTGACGCTGCAGGTTACCTCCAGCGCTGCCACTGCCACAGCAAAGACCTGCCCAAGCTTACTTTAAACCAGGTACTCCCAATGTAGCTCTTGCCACATCAAACACAGGGCAGGCCACAAGCTCCTCCTGAACACCAAGAGAACTTCACAACAGTCACTGCAGCCCCTGCTGCTGAAGTCAGGCTCTCCGGCACCAAGGGAGCTTGCACTGGCTCTGATCTAAGCACACAGTGAATGAAGACTCAGCCAGCACCTCTGGCTATGAAAGAGGTTCCTACAGCTCCACACCTGCTGCACCTCTCATGGCAACCACTCTGCTAACACAGGTGAAGGAAATGCTGCCACCCTGATTCGATATTTTACACTGGATTTGCCCTCTCATGTATTAAACAGATGATGTAGGTCCATACATCCTCTCCATACATCTGTCCACTCAACTGCCACATAGAAGGCAGGTTTGGCAGAGATGCTCCAGAAAACCAAGAGCAGTTACTGCAGATCATGAGTTCTGCAGTGGCAATGTTTCAGTGCTGCTCCACTTGCAGGAGGACGCTTCTTATGGGGCTCCTCAAGCAGCAGCTGAAATACCAAAACAGAATGAGGAATCCAGGCAAAAGAAAGGAAGGAATAAAGAGCAGCAAGCAAGAGAAACACTCTTTAAAGCCCAGGTTCAGACAGGCACTCTTGGGCACTGCTTTGAAGTACTGTGACCTTGTGAACAAAGAGGGAAGCAACTGATTCTCCTAATTACAGCTCTGCCACGTGCACACTGTTGGCTCCACACAGCCAGAAAAGCTGTGCTGATAAAATCAACCTGACCTGCAAGGAAAAGCCACCAAACTGCCAATGATTCCTGTTATCATGCCCATAACTTCTGGCCGGATTGTCACAGCTGCTCTTAAAAGGCATCTTGTCTTGGATTAATGAGTTCAGAGATGACAAATCCACCACAGTCTTTGATATGCTGTCCCCATCTTTAATTGCTCTCACTGTCAAATGACTAAACGCATTATGCTTTTGCCACTGAATTAAAGAGCCCTGCATCATCAGAAACTCTCACTCCAAGGAGATACTTATGGACTATGACCATAAATCATTCTTTTTTAAACTTTCATCTCAATAAGTTTAATAGAATGAGCAAAATAAGTGTCCACAGGACGATTTTCTGGGCATTGGATCACTTCCGAGCCTGCTCCCAGTTGTCCTACCCCTTACAAAATGTACGTCAGGAGCGCTGGGCACAACATGCCAATAATAGTCTCAACAATACTATTTATACCTCTTAAAAGTCCCTAGTTAGAGATGTGAAGGTTAACAGCAACTCTGGGCTGCAGGATTATTCTGAGAAGTCCCCTGGAACATCCACTGCTTTCCATTTTTAACTTAAAATGGGAAAAATGAGCTTGGGAGAGGCAGAGCTGACCCAGCGCTGCCTGCAACAAGTGCCCACAGGGCTGCAGTTTTGGGCCTTTAAGTGCAGGTTCTTGTAGCTGGTCTCTGCCAAAGCGTGTCCTTACTCCCAACCAGTGAGATTCCACATCCAGACCATGCCAGGCTGTTTGGGAGAACATATTCCAATTTGAAATGAACAAGTACTATGTTATTCGCTTGGGGTTTTTCTCTCCCCCTGTAATTACAATATGGAAATAAATCCGAAATCTTCAACAGGGCTGCAGGACAAGTGGTAAATGTGACTTTTTCAGGGCAACTCTGGTAAAACACAGTTTTTAAATCAAATTAAGCCCTGGGAGATCTGGATTGGTTCTTGGAGGCATATGCAGCAAGGCTAATGAACAAGAATGCCTGCAGAGAGGTGTCCAGATCTCTCAGGAAGCTTGATGCTACGGGAAGCTGAGCAGGGCAGCAGTAAAAACATCTCTCTCACACAACATGTGTATATAAATACATATATATGTACATATAAATTACTACATCTAAGGATTGTAATAAAAGGATCAACAAAGAGCTGAAAGCACTTCTACTCAGTTTTCTTCCCATCTTTCTTCATTCTTAGCTAGATAAAAGTTACCTCTTTGCTGTTCCTATTAAATTTGACTCTTACCCAAGTGGAGTGTTTAGGGGATGAAACTTTATTCTTCTCCCATTTCTAATGTCTCTGAATTCTGACAGCTCCATGGCTCAAGCCTGTAGGTACAACCCAGCCTAGCCTCCTACACAGAGCTTTGATGCTCTGCTCTATCTGCTCCAGATTTAAACACTCCCACAAAAGAGGCTTTGTTAATCGCATACACTGGTCTGCTGGGAAATTTCTGCTTCCCTAAAATCCCATCGCACTCGCTAGGAGCCGGTTCAAGCGCAACAGGGCCCTTCCTCACAGAGATATGCTGCATCCTGAGGAATAAGGAATTGGCTCCACCTCTGCTGTGCTCTGGGGAGAACCCCCTGCAGCCCTGATCCAGCTCTGGGGCAGCAGCACAAGAGGGACATGGAGCTGTTGGAGCGAGGCCAGAGGAGGCCATGGAGATGCTGCGAGGGCTGGAGCAGCTCTGCTCTGGAGCCAGGCTGAGAGAGCTGGGCTGGGGCAGCCTGGAGAAGAGAAGGCTCCTGAAGGGGAGACCTGAGAGCAGCTCCAGTGCCTAAAGGGGCTGCAGGAAACCTGGAGAGGGGCTTGGGACAAGGGATGTAGGGACAGGCCAAGGGGAATGGCTTTAACCTGCCAGAGGGGAGACTGAGATGAGCTCTTAGGCAGAAGCTCTTCCCTGTGAGGGTGCTGAGGCGCTGGCACAGGGTGCCCAGAGAAGCTGTGGCTGCCCCATCCCTGGCAGTGTTCAAGGGCAGGTTGGACACAGGGGCTTGGAGCAAGCTGCTCTAGTGGAAGGTGTCCCTGCCCGTGGCAGGGGTTGGAGCTGGAGGAGCTTTAAGGTCCCTTGCCCCTGCTGGAGCCTGCCCAAGTGATGCACAGCTTTCAGTATCTGCAGGGCAGGGACTGCTCTGTCAGGACGCTAACAAGCACAGGCAGTCTCTATTTTCAACAAAGCAGACTCCTACACTCAGAAATTGGATGAAGCTCTTCCTCCTTCACTTAAACCAGCAGACGCTCAAGAGAGCAGAGGTGCTTTCATCTCACACCTACAGGGCTCCACTGCAAATTGCAAAATGAGAGGCGAGAAACTCTATTCCTGACCCTAAATAAACCCCCGGGCTGTGCTCTCCTTGTCCAAACAGCCGTGGTCTTTGGCTTTTTTCCCCGATTACATTTAATAGCCAAGCACAGTTTTAGCTGCAGTTATAGAGAAGTACAGTGAGGAGAATCCCGTGCAAAGGCAACTCCAGTTGCCAGTTTGAGCTCCCAGGTTGTGTTCCATGGGGTCCCAATCACCGCACGTGTGGGCCACTGGGGGCAAGAAAGGCCCAAAAATCATAGAGAAAGAAACCGCAGTACCAACGTCTTCATTTCCTTCTCATGTGGTATCAGCACTCCCTACGCAAAAGGCTGTGAAGTCACGTATTTCATGTTGGGCATTGCAATGAACAGTCAAAGAAGCTGGAGACAGCCATTCCAAGGCTCAGGCCAATGTTTCCAGAGATTCTTGTGTCTGGAAGCAGCAAAACTTGGATCACAACTCCGTCTGACACCATGGTGAGAGAAATAACCCAGAAACTTGCTTAGCCTGAGACAAGAACACAGTATTTGATGTGTTTATAAACATTAAACTCAAGCGCTTCCTACATTTTAATGGGATCAAGCATGTATCTGTTGTTGGCACAGAAGTCCCCGACAGCAGCAGGGAGAAGTCACTAAAAACAAAGGAAGAAAGAATATCCCTCTAGAAAAGCAAAATAGAGAACAAACCAACCTTACTGAACCCGTGTTGGTCCAACAGGCTGTACACAGTGCTCTTCCCGCAGCCCAGCAATTAAGAGGGCTTTCAGTTCCCAAAGCAAGCAAGCTGGGCACAAGCAAAGCTGGGCTCTGGTTTCCAACCAGAGCAGAACACCACCCATGGGTCTGTGCAAGGACACCAGCAAGGTCCTGCTTTGAAGCAGAGCAGCTCAGCGAGCCCCACACCACGGCCATTCGCTCTTTACACCTGAAACCATCACCAGCTTACACACACAAGCTCTTCCTTCTCTTCTCTAAAAGACTTTCATCTCCAGCACAGAACAAGCTTGAAACCGAAGCCAAGTAGCCAGGAGGAGCAACACAGCAGCTGTCATGGAGCAACCCTCTTCTCTCCATCCATCATGCAGAGGGGCAACAAGATTTGTTCCGAGGCACTGCCTTTGAACAGCACAAAGCAGCAGCTCCCAGGGGTATCTGCCTCTAACAACTGATATTTAAGCAAGAAGCATCAGTCTGCTATGAAAAATGGATCACCAGCAGGTGACAGGAGCTGTCATGGCGCTACTGTCCCTTTGCTGCTGCAGAATTACACTTCTCATGACTGAATTCCAGCATGGCTGTCAGGGGATCCTGACCCCTGCCCAAGCCTTACCTTGGAGCAAACAAAAGAAACCTGCATGGCTTTGGTCTTATCTAGATCAGACAAACTGCGAGGCTTATCCTCTTATTAATACCCTTTTATCTGCAGATTAACAGGTCCCTTTAGAAGAGGGATCCTGGTGTGACTTGATCACAACTGCACTGATTTGTGTGCACACACCTGCATAAAATCATAGTGCTGCAGGCTGCCAGGCAGACTGCACTTCAGCACAGACTAAACCAAGCCACAAACCTACACTGACTTTCCACCTCCCTCTGCAGCAAACCCTCTATGCAAGAAGTAGAGTGGCAGTCTATGGCTTCAACACTCCTAAAGGAGAGTTCCACTAGGGGACATTTAACTGTGGCCAAGCTCACACATGTGGACTTCACACTTTCAGTCTTGCTCTACCCATGCGCACCTGGTTACCCCTCAGGAGAGCATCCTCCATGGGTGCACCTTCTGGGTTCAGACAAGCTGACAGCAGCACTTGCCATCGGAGTCCTCTGTTTCACTATGCCCTCTACTCTTTACCTCTATTTATTCCCTCCCCTCCAAGAAGTCACTATCTCCATCACCATCCCGTGAGCACCTGGCCTTTGTTTTCTGCCTAGTAAAGCCTGCTCCACAAACAGCCACTTGCAAAGTGCCTGCCCGGCCCCAGGAGATGAACACAAGGTGTTCTCAGGCCAGGGGCTCCTGCAGAGCAACCCACAGACCACATCAACACATCACTGCAGTACTGCTGGGCACTGGCATGGAAAATCGTACTTCCAGTTATAGCAACCACCAGTCCTGGGATCAGATACAGAGTGGCAATGCTGCTTAAAGATATAGTTTGATGAATATTGATTGAAACACAACATTCGCCCACTTAGGGGGCTGCAGCATCTCCCATATGAAGACAGGCTGAGAACACTGGGGCTGTTCAGCCTGGAGAAGAGAAGCTGTGTGGAGACCTCAGAGCAGCTTCCAGTGTCTGAAGGGGGCTACAAGGATGCTGGAGAGGGACTCTTCATCAGGGACTGCAGTGACAGGACAAGGGCTGATGGGTTCAAACTGAAACAGAGGAAGTTCAGGTTAGATCTAAGGCAGAAGCTCTTCCCTGTGAGGGTGCTGAGGCGCTGGCACAGGGTGTCCAGAGAAGCTGTGGCTGCCCCATCCCTGGCAGTGTTCAAGGCCAGGTTGGACACAGGGGCTTGCAGCAAGCTGCTCTAGTGGAAGGGGTCCCTGCCTGTGGCAGGGGGTTGGAACTGGATAATCTTATGGTCCTTTTCAACCCTAACCAGTCTATGATTCTATGATAAGCAAAGCATCTCCTGCTCCAGACTCATCCTTCCCTGTCCAGGCTTTGTCTCCCCCAGTTAAACTGGCACCCTGTTTTCTGTGCTCATTGGGAATTAGGCTGAGACATGAATTCATGGATTTCTGCACTATTTCTTCTGATAGTTCAGCTCCCTCAACCCACTCTTCTGCACAGCACAAGAAAATACCACCAGAGACACACACCTCAAACTCCAGCCTCATGGTCACCAAGTAATGAACAAAGACATAACCTGGATTCCCAATTCAGCCATCTGCTCCTCTTATCTCAAGAGATATGGGATGCTTTCATCTCCTTTATCATCCCTTATCCCTTCCAGACACATCTTAGTGATGTGAAGGGGCCTTCTCCACGCACAGGATACACTTACACATCCCTTTCAGTCTGTTGCCTTGCCCTGGAAACTTTTGGGTTCTCAATAGGGTTGTAAATGGACCAAAAGGTACAGTGCTTGTGTTACTGCACTATTCAGCAGGGGAGCAGACAGGATGCTGTCCACAACCTTCTAAGATCTCTGCTTAAAAATCACCTTAACATGCAACAACATCAATTAAAATCATCACCTGTTTCAGACTCAGCTTCGATCCCAATTCAGGAAGCAACTCCTAAACAAAGAGAAAGCTGGTTACATTTGGGAGACAGTTATTTTCTTCCTTTCAAAAACCAATCCACGTGTGCAGGAAAAGGCGGCCACGGTCCCCTGGCAGTGATTGCATTACAGAAAACAGCATTTTTTGCCCTGGTGGATTACTGCAGGTGCCTGGGGGAATGGAACGACAAATGTTCCTACCACTTTGCAGGCAACCAAACACCTTCCTCCCCTCCTGCTCCCAGGCAGCAAGAACAGTCTACCAAGAAAACAGCATTGCTCTAAAACCTATCAGTAAAGAACTGACTGTGCCCTGTCATCAACTTCTGGGTGATTTCCACAACGTGTTCCTGGAATACGGCACCTGCTCTGCCAGTGTTTTTGGAGGGGAAAAGGTGTGAATGTGGAGGCTGGCGCCTGAAACGTTCCTGCACTGCTGGGCTGATGAGCCTCTTAGAAGCAGCTCCACAAAGAACTAATCAGGATGGCAAAATGACAACTAGCAAGGCCTCTGCTGCTCAAAAGAAACTAGCATGTACGTTCAGAGACAATGGGCAAAAACAAGGTAGTAATTATCAGGAGGGCTGAACAAACCAGATGTGTTATTGTCTTATAGAAATGAGATCAAATCTTGGGCTCACATTCAGATGCATTGAGTGGAGAACACGGGAACAGCCTCTTCTTACCACCCTGCTTGTGAATGTTCTTCCTCTCCCTATTTTAAGCCCAAAGGAAATGGCCAGAGGTGCTGAGGACATGCTGTGCATTCTTGAGCAGTCCAACAACTGCAGGCTTTGGGTTAGGAAGCTGCTGGTAGTGTGTGAGCAAATAACCATCAACAGCATCATCACAGCCCCTCATGTCCGTGAGCACCTGCGGAAGCAGCTTTCTAGAGACAAACCTTGAAGCCCAAGGGGCTGTGTACAAATAATCTTTTTGATGTATCATAAAATATGAATGAGGAAAACTCTCCCTCCTAACCCAGCAGTCATCTTTTAGAAGGGAATTGCCTCTTTCAATTGCTCAGCCCCAAGGGAGCTCTCTCTGTCAAATTCCACAAGGGTCTGGGGGTTTGCCCGGCCTCATTTAAGTGCACGACAGGCTGCTGAAGGGAAGCTGTGAGGCTGCAAAGCCTTGTTTGGGTAAGAGACAGCCTTAGGAGAGACTTTCATCAGGCTGCATGTAACTGCATCTGGGCTTCCCCAGCCAGAAAACAGCAGCGTGTGAGAAGGAGATAATTCAGACACAGTCAGGGGAAGGCAAGGGGAAACAGTGGTGTGGGGTGGGAGAAGGGATGGGAAATCCTATGGCACGTGTGGTTTGTGCCCTGGTGCTGAGCTGGGTGCCCACCACATCTCTAATCCTGAGGTGCTCTTTAGACTCCCACCTGCATCCAGAGCACAGGAGGTGCCACAGCTGAGGCCACCTTTCCCATCTGTGCCTGGCTGCGTGCCACCCATCTCTCCTCTTCCTCCTCTCTTCCCCTGCTCCAGATCACAGCGAGTCACAGCTCTGAGACCTTCACATCATATTGCTGCTGCGCTGCAACACGTGGGTGACATCTGAGGATCACCTGGCATTTGCTGGTCACCAACCTTTGCAGCAACTTCCCACATATTTGTGGGTGTCACTCACACTGCCACGCAGGACTAACAATCCCTTCCTTCACCTAGGTGCAGGATACCTAAAGGCTGGTCTCTCTCCCATTAGTAGATACAGCACAATGAGAGGATCTATGTTACTGTAGCTAAATATAAAGGGTCACAGGGCTGGAGACCAAGGGACATCTGCCTGTTCCAGTGTCTATTCCTTAACTTTGGCAAAAGAACCCCCAAAATAGGCAAAAGAACCAAACTTGGCCAATGACAAAGAAAGGCCCATTTCTGTTCACCCCACTGTAACATGAATGCACCAGATGACTTCACATCTCCTTTTGCCTCCTAAAACCAAGGCAGAGCTCTGTTTTGTTAAGTGATCCATCCCTAAGGATTCTGGAATGAAGACGTGTGAACAAGTTGCATTACTGCAGGCAACACAGAGAGAAAGAGAAAACATCCTCTGGTTTACCACTATAATGCCATGGCAATGCAATCAAGTTGCCTACCATACCAGCTTCTTGACAGCTTCCAAGCTTAGGAGAAGCCCCAGTTTAACATGCTATGATAATTTCTTCTGAGTCCAACTTAGAAGAAATCTAATTTGTTTCCCAAGCAGCTCTGGATTGCAGCAGATGGCCGATGAGCAACACAGCCAAGAGATAAAGGCCATCGAGTGTCTCACATGTATCTATTGGAGAAGGTAACTGATCAATTATATATTTAGAAACACATTGGGGAAGGGAGCTGGTGGTGGCCATGTGGCTCTATTCCAACACCTCTGCTCTCTGTCACAAGAGACAAAATAAATATACATATTTATATAAAAATTAATATATATTACATATATATATAGGAGCACTGTGTGCAGTTCTTGTGTCCTCAACTGCTCCAGCAGTCATGGAGCTGCTGGAGCAAGTCCAGAAGAGGCCACGAGGATGATCAGGGGCTGAAGCACCTCCCATATGAAGACAGGCTGAGAACACTGGGGCTGTTCAGCCTGGAGAAGAGAAGGCTGCATGGAGACCTCAGAGCAGCTTCCAGTGTCTGAAGGGGGCCTATAGGGATGCTGGAGAGGGACTCTTCATCAGGGACTGCAGTGATAGGACAAGGGGTGATGGGTTCAAACTGAAACAGGGGAAGTTCAGGTTGGAGGTAAGGCAGAAGTTCTTCCCTGTGAGGGTGCTGAGGCGCTGGCAAAGGGTGCCCAGAGAAGTGGTAAATGCTCTGTCCCTGGCAGCGCTCAAGCCCAGGTTGGACAGGGCCTTGGGCAACATGGTCTAGTGTGAGGCATCCCTGCCCGTGGCAGGGGGTTGGCACTAGATGATCTTATGGTCCTTTCTAATCCAAACCATTCTATGATTTTATGATGTATATTAAAACCCCCCTAACAATCCACTTGGTGGGAATTACAGGGATTATTCATGTTCCCATGCAGCACAGCATCCCTCTCATGCACTCAAAGCAAGCCACGAGCAGTTGCAGCAGCAGCACTGGCTGCTGGGCATATACATTACCAGGCTAGCGATGGGTTTAGGCATTGTCTTCCGTGCTCTGTGGACCTTGACTTCAGCGTTAGCAGCAGTGGCTTTTTTAGCATCCATGTCCTTACTGCCCTCCCCGAGCTTGGCTGGCATTGCGGCTTGCATCTGAGAAAAGGAGCCCACAGTTCTCCCTTTGCTTGCTCCTCCTGGCAGGGTTTTTGCAGCATGGCCGGTGAGAGAAGCAAAGGTGCTGGTAGTCCTTAGAGGCTGCTCCTGTGCCATCTGCTTGGTTAGAATATATCCATTGCTCCCTGTTACAGAAGTCTGTGTGAAGTCATTAGCTTTCAGATGGTTTTGCTTCCCAGTCTCACCATCTCGTTCAGAAATGCCATTTTCTGCTATCCTATTTAACTTAGTACTGGAGTCCTGCTGGCTCACTTTCGTATTGTCCTGAGTGGTTTTAGCTGGGTTTGGGTGGCCACCAGCTTCGCTGTGCTCACAGGAACCGTTGGTTTCACCATCTACTGCCATTTTTGGTTCCCCCGCTTGCTTTTCTGTAGCACTTTCATCTGCAGCCATGGCATTAAACCCTGGAGAAAGAGGGAGGAGGAGGAGGAGGAAGAGAGAAGGAAAAGGGTCACAAGCAGTATCGAAACTCCAAAGAGAAGGTACAGCTACTCACAATGGCTCAGGAAGAACAACCCTTTCCTCCAGAAAGCTGCTTGCTATATATATCTATGTAAATCCATTTAGATTGCTCACTCACCTACCTGGCTTGCCTGGATCCTCAGTGAAAAGTGGGGTGTGTGCCTCAGTTGCAAGCAGCGCACTCATTCTCACTTGCCTCAGCTGCAGATGTGGCCATTTATTCCCAAGTATGGATTTCTCAAGGTAAATATTACCTTGTGCTTTTCCAGTAACTACACTTCCTGGACCATCTGTCAACCCCCTGCACATCAAACAAAACACTGCCCAAACGTGCATTCAGATCTCAGGCAAAGCCCTTCGCAATGCCAGACTGGACTTTGGTGGCTCAGACACAGCTCAGCAGCCAAGCGGCTCTGCCACTACACAGCACACCCCAAGGAGGAACTCCCTGGCAATGCCAGCTCTCCTGGCACGGTTATCCAGTGGCTCTTTTCCTGGGGTGAAGCAGCACAGGAGAAGGATTCATGGTGTCATCTCAGAGGCAACAGCCAGAGTAAACAGGGGGAAGCGTGTGAAGTGCAATTCTAGACTATAGGAACAACAGGAGTCAAACGCAGCAAGAATTTTGCAGGCTCAAAGCTCACACCCAGATAACACAGGAGTGCCCATGCAAAAATGTTTTTTCCTGCACTCCTTCCAAACACTCCCATGCTCCCCTCATCAATGAGTTTGTCCCATCTGAGGTTTCAGACCTGACCTGAAGAAAACCCAACTATGAACGCTGTGTACTTAGAATGGTTTGGGTTAGAAAGGACCTTAAGATCATCTAGTTCCATCTGTGTACTTGCAGAAGGGTTTCCAACATGACAAACCAGCAGCTCCCCAGGCAGGCAACCAGGAGTGATAACAATTCACTGGCACGCTCAGTGAAACGATTAAATCAACCCACTGTTAGGGATCCCTTGTGTTGTTTCCCTTCCAGAGGCCACACAGCTATGAAGAGCATCACAAATCCCGCCAGCAAAAGCCCTGTCAAAGCAGGTAGGACTGATTACAACCAGCTTGAATCAAAGCAGTTTTCATGTACGGTACTCAGAAAGGCCCAGAGTCAAAGTGGAGGACAGCTCTGCAAGCCAGAGCAGCATACTGCTGTCAGCATCTCATTTCGTTCCACTCCTGAAGCCCAAACATGCCAGGAAAACAATACCCTGAATGTCTCTGCTGACCTGGCAAAACCTGATGCAAGGCTCAAGTGTGAAGCAGAACCAGGATCCTGGATGCCAGGATGTCAAGTCCAGCATACCTGGGCTGACTGTTCAAATCCAAGCTCAGCAGGGCTCTGCTGTATGCCCAAGCACAAGCAGCTCAATGCAAACAGCAAGGAGGAGAAGCAGCGCTGTCACCAGAGCAGCCTGTGATTGCCTCTCACATGGACTCTGGTTGCTCAGAGCCTCTAAAAACAGCTCCAGAACCTCCCCAAAGAGTTCCGAAACCTCCTGAAAGAGCTCACTAGTGCCCACTGGAGCACACACAGGGGGCAGAGGCAGAAAGCCACCCCTCCAGCAGGCAGTAACTAAGTGGTTCTCCAAGCACGATCCAAAGTCATCACCTCCATCTGCTGCCCTCTCACACCACCCAGACCACCTTCTGTGTACTGAAAGCTCTGATAAGCCACACAAGGGTTTGTTTTGGAGAGCAATGACTCCTGGAGGAGATAAAGCGCTGGGTTTTCACTGTTATTTAGCTACTTGAAAAGTCCTGAGCAGAAGGAGACATTCTTTCAATCCTCGTTTCTCTTTCTGCATTTGGTGTCTTCAAAAGCCTCTGCTGTTGCCATTTAAACAATTATTTCAGCTAAGTCAGTGCCAGAATAAAACAACAAATGAGCTCCCTGACTACAGATGGAGGTTTCCAGTGCTCAGCACCAGGCCCCTGTCCGAATTCAGTCTTCAATCTGTGTTGATTTAAACACTGCACACTCCCACCAGTGCGGTCAAATGACTTCAGTGGCTGACTATTAGATAAAGAGAATAAGCAGAGGGCACGAATTGCTTTACCTGCCATGAAGGCAACCAAAACAAGGTGCATTACAGCACTGCCCTAAGGGGAAGAGTAACTGTGTTAGTCCAGACAAATCTGGGAAGCCGAAATGAAAATCCCACGTACAGTTCCCACACACACTCTTCTGAAGTGCACAAAGCACAGTGTGGCTGTGGAAGCACCATCAATCTCTTATGAACTGGCACCAGACCCCCAGATCCGCATGATTAGAGGTCTGCCTAAATAAAGATATGAAATTTCATAGTCCCTAAAGTGGCACAGAACTGGAGACCTTGACAGCAGTCATCAGGGGATGGGTTTGATCTAACAGGATGGTGCACCCACTCTGCCCTGTTGTAGAGGGCTGCTCAGGTTGCCAGGCAAAAGGAGGGCCAAGGGCTTCCACCTCCATAGAATCACAGCCTGATTTGTGCTGGAAAGGACCTTGAAGCTCATCCACCTCCAACCCCTGCCATGGGCAGGGACACCTTCCACTAGAGCAGCTTGCTCCAAGCCCCTGTGTCCAACCTGGCCTTGAACACTGCCAGGGATGGGGCAGCCACAGCTTCTCTGGGCACCCTGTGCCAGCGCCTCAGCACCCTCCCAGGGAAGAGCTTCTGCCTTAAATCTAATCTGAACTTTTCCTGTTTCAGTTTGAACTCATTCCCCCTTGTCCTATCACTACAGTTGTGATGAAGAGTCCTTCTCCAGCACCTTTGTAGGCCCCCTTCAGATACATCCCATTAAAGATACCCCCACAAAGAACTAGTTTAGATCAGGAGCTACGTTACTTAATAACATGTGGTAGCCCAAGTAAAGGAGTCTGGGTTTCACAACCAAAATCCTTAGTCTGGTAACAGCAGAACAGGAGCTGCTCGCCCAGGCTAGGCTATTGCTCCTCTTGATGTGATGCTCTGCCTGTAACACATGCTCCATCCTTGTGGAATGGGACAGATCTGCAAGCCTGACCACGTTCAACAAGTCTTAGACACATGAAGTGCACGTTCACAACCAGTGCTGAACAGACACAACTCAACAGATATTTACACTTTTGCTGAAATACGGCCTACAGATGGAGACAGGAACACGAACTAGAGGCAGCAGGAACCTCACAATGGAGAAATACTGACTACAACAGCCTACAGAAGCTCTTCAACCTCACCAGACAGACAAAGCTTCCTGCCATGACCTCCTCATCTCCCCTTCTTCATGATTAAACAAGATGAATCACTGCAAACCTGCCAAGATCTTCATTTCAAAGACACAGCAGTGAGTTCTCTTCTGGTCAACAGCTTTTCTGCTCTTGTGCTGCAAATGCAAGTGAGTAAAAACTGAAATCATTTCTCCAGAACTTTACAACTTGACAGCATTCCTTCCTTCCAAGCAGACCAGAACTACCTCTCCTCAGTATTCACTTTCCAACTCACTCACTGTTCTTTAATCTACAACCATTCATTCCTTAACTACAACAACATGAAAGGTAGATAGAGCCTGTGTCCATTGAAGTGTAACTTTTTTACTAGAAGCATCTCAGCATTTTCAGAGCTCCCTTATGCATTCATCCCCTACACCACATGCAGCAGGAAAACCTTGTCACATTGCCCACAGTGCTGCCTGCATCCCAATCCAAGCATTTGGGATTAATCTGGGATGGGTAACTTGCCCAAGAGATTTATGTTCTGTTATGGTGCCTGTCTTCATATCTGAAATTCACAGAATCATCAAGTTGCTTGGGCTGGAAGGGACCGTAAAACTCATTCAATTCCAATGTCACAGGCAGGGACACCTTCCATTAGAGCAGGTTGCTCCAAGCCCAGACCATCCTGGCCTTGGCATCCTACCTGGATATCAAGATGAAAGAAACTTCACTAAAGGTTTATCTCTTAGGAGCTGGCTACATTTTAGTAACACAAGGAATTTAAGACTCAGGAAATGCTGCAGCTCCACTGTCAGTGAGACTCCACATGGCAAAGGATTATCAGTAATGTATTCAAACCACTTCTCAGAATTAACAGCTCACTGGAGTGATGCAGAGTTTCCAGCCCTTCCACCCTTCCCCAGGCTCAAGCAGACCCTGTGCACGAGTTTCAGACTTCAGCTTTCTTCTCAGTATCAGTACCAATCTCAGTATCTTCTCAGTACCACAGTCATTCAAAATTGACTTAAAATCCCCATGAAGGGAACAAAGTCATACAAAAGTAAGGGAGAAGCCAAGTCAGACAGGATGAGGCCACCTCACCTTTTAGGTGTCCAAAAGGCATCTCAAACTCCAGGGTGCCCCTAAGCCACCACCGCAACCAAGAAGATGACAGCTCAGATAAGCACAGTCTGACTTCAGGCACCTGTCTTTGGCTAAGCGACCCCCTGCCTGGACGTGCCTACCATGTGCAAGCAGAAACGAGCTGGACCAGCTCAGAGTCAGAATGATAACTTCAAAAAAAAACCTAAATTAGGCAAAATGAAACCCACCTCTGCTCTGCCAGCCCAGACTCCCGCAATGAGGGCTCCTCTCCACTGCTTCCAGCTCTTCCAGCAGAGCCAGGCCTCGCTCTGGTCCTGCCCTGGAGCTGGCCAGAGCTGGTTCAGCCTGCCAAAGCCTGCCTGTGGGCAGAACCCCTCTAGCAGACGTGCCACAGTCTCACCAGCCATCCCTGCTGCAGCCAAAGGGAACCCAATCACCGCCGCAGAGACCGAAGGGGATGAGCAGCCACTTTCCATGCGCAGGCCGCCAGCTGGATGAGCCCAAAACTCTCTCTTACTTTGAGAATGCAGTGGAAACAAAGTCTGAAATACAGATTTTTAAGTTCAGATCTCACTGAGGAGTGAGATAAAGAATAATATGCAAGCATTACAAGCCTTATACTCCAGGCCAAACTGCAATCATCACTGGGTCTGCGGGGAAAAGAACAAGAAGACAAACAGAAAGAAAAAGAATATCCTAGAAGTAAAGACACTACTAAAACATGGAACTTTCCTATGTTTTCCTGAACAGCTTGGTGCTGAGCACTGGTAGAGACGAGACAACCTGAAAGAGACAAGCAACCAGCGCTTGCAGGGTATGTTCTCTGTCCCCAGCAATTTCCTGTGTCTCCAGCACAGGGTCATGAGGCTTCGGCTGCTGCAAGAGAAACATCCACCTCTGAACTAAGCAAAGACTGAGCTTATGTAGAAGTATATGAAGTGCAGTACAAGTACTGCAGACATTTCCATATATCACACTTCACAGGTGTTTCACCTTAAGCACTTTGCAGATCATCTTTTAGAACACCACAGATACCCCTGGCTTTTCATTCAATAACCAACTGTCCTGCTGGATCAACTTTGACAAGGGAGAAATGCACCTGGTTTGCAACCACTGTGTTACAGCAGTGCCCTCCCCTTCTCCTCAAAATAAAAAAAAATCATAAATATTCAAAGGAGAGAGGAGCCCAGCTGACATAAAAAGGATGCTGAAGAGATGGGGGCTGACTAGGGAGAACTGGTGGCTGGAGATCCTGCACCCATTGGGAAGGAAAGCAGCACCTCTACCACTGAAGCCAAAAAGTGGAGCATTTTGAAGTCAGGAGATGAAGAGAACCATGTTTTCAGGGCAAAGTTCCTCTCTGGGGTGTGCCCAGCTCTGGGGCAACAGCACAAGAGGGACGTGGAGCTGCTGGAGCGAGTCCAGAGGAGGCCATGGAGATGCTGCGAGGGCTGGAGCAGCTCTGCTCTGGAGCCAGGCTGAGAGAGCTGGGCTGGGGCAGCCTGGAGAAGAGGAGGCTCCTGAAGGGGAGACCTGAGAGCAGCTCCAGTGCCTGAAGGGGCTGCAGGAAACCTGGAGAGGGGCTTGGGACAAGGGCCTGTAGGGACAGGCCAAGGGGAATGGCTTTAACCTGCCAGAGGGGAGACTGAGATGAGCTCTGAGGCAGAAGCTCTTCCCTGTGAGGGTGCTGAGGCGCTGGCACAGGGTGCCCAGAGAAGCTGTGGCTGCCCCATCCCTGGCAGTGTTCAAGGGCAGCTTGGACACAGGGGCTTGGAGCAAGCTGCTCCAGTGGAAGGTGTCCCTGCCTGTGGCAGGGGTTGGAGCTGGAGGAGCTTTAAGGACCCTTTTAATACAAACCAGGCTGGGATTCTCTGTGACTGATGATCTCTTTTTCCACTGTCCCCTTTTTAAATCCATGAAGGCAGATGATATTCATCCAAGAGCCTGCCCTGTATTTCCAAAACACAAACACCAGTGCTCCCAGTGCCCTGGAGCTGTCACCCTGGGGCAGTGTCACCCTGGGGCAGTGTCACCCTGGGGCAGTGTCACCCTGGGGCTGTGTCACCCTGGGGCAGTGTCACCCTGGGGCAGTGTCACCGCTGCCCTTCTCCTGTCAAGAGTCAAAACAGGAAAACTAAAATAATAAAAAGAACAACTTCTGCTGTGAATGCTCAGTACTGAGACTGCAGAGGTCAGATAAATGGGATTCAGCATCTCTCTGGTGGGCTGGCTCACATGAATACTGATGGTGACTCAAAGCAGTTTAACAGCCTGAGTGATATTAATTTGTTCCTTTGCCATGGGATCAGGTCCACAGGGCTACAGCACAGCAACGAGGCCCCGAGCCCATCTGTGACCATGGGATGCTCCAGCTCTGGAGCTGCCCAGCTCCAAGAACGCTTCTGCTGCCGCAGCCTCCCTGAAGCAGGGGACATGAACACTGCGTGCACATCTGGGCGCACATCTGGATGCACATCTAAAACACCTAAGCATCATTTTGCCCTGTCTGGTCTCCTGGCTGCCAGTTTCAGCAATCACAGCTGGGTAACAAAGGCTAGGGAAGAACAATGCATAGTGCACAACCACCACACAAACCATTGTCTTTTACACACGTGGTGTGCTCAGGAAGACAAGGCTAACATCTGAATGTTACCATAGGAATGGAGACCACACAGTTCCCATTGTAGCACCCTTCTTTCCTCGGTAGCAGAACTGGATAATAAGCTGAAGTGGTTGGAATCCAAGCACCTTGTGAAGCCTCAAGACTCTTCCTGCGCAGGGAGGGTTCTCAGCTTCCCTTTCATACACAGCACCTGCTTTCAGTCCAAGGCACTCAAGACATACAAGGTGCAGAAACGTCTCTCTCCCCACCCTCCTCCTGGATTTTTACCTTCACAGACTCTTGACACTTACCTTAAGACCAACCAAGAGCTAAATAAACACCTTTATAGTCCTGAGCCAAGCAAGGATCAAGTGAGAGTCTCCTCCCAGAGCAACGTGACCTCCCACTGGCACCTCAGACTTGGGCTCCCAGAGCAGAGGTCTGGTGCATGCATGTGTCAGCAGCAGCACTCACGTGCTCCCAGTTAATATACAGGCACCGTGGCCTGGCCACATCTGAGGCAGCATTCAGTATTTAGTCTGTTCTGAGCTTTACTAACTAAAGAAATGGCAAAACATTACGCTGGAGAGAAGAGAAAGGAAGAGCAATGCTGTACTACACACATCTGAATTAAGTCCAAAATTGTGTTGTTAGCTAAGACAAGGTATTCTGATGGGGCCAGTTCAGTGCTTTTCTAATGCTCTATTATGGAAAAGAGAACAAAAATACACCAAATCCCTGCAGAGCTATCACAAGTAACTAGTCAAGGAATAATAGAGCCATGGAAAGAAAGGAGGGGGCTGCAGAGATAAAGTGCGGTGGGTTTTTCTTTTCCCTAATCCCATTGACACATTTATTAAGCCCTCGGATTTGTGTGCATGCAACTCCCAGCCAGCCACACAGGAAAGATTTCGCCAAGTTAACATGTGCTGCATCCTGCAAATGAAAAGCAAGAAGAAACAATGCAGCAGCCATGAAGCATCCCACAACAGCACAAAGTGTGGAGGGCCCTAACCCCACCAACCACCCTGCAGCCATCAGTGCCTGGTCTGGAGCAAGAAAAACCCAAGGGAAAACAGAAAGTTCACTTGACTAGAGGGAGGAAAGGGCCCGGTCATCATGTGGCAGGATCAGAGTTCAGTTCAAAGCAGTCATTCACAGGAGGTTCAAAGTAACTCCTTTGTGCTTCACAGCCACACCAAAGCAGAAGTGACAATCAGCGATCAGTCATTAAGGTGGGTGGCGATGGAAGGACTGAAAAGCCAATTTGCCATCTCCTGGGGAAGAGCCCTGCTCAGATAAACACAGAACTGTTTGGGGCAGCACACCCAAGGGACAAAGCCCATCTCCTCGCCCCCAGTTTTGTTCCCATCACAAGCCAACCTCACCAGCAAGGTCTGGCCCTCGACCGAGGCAGGTGCTCACCTTCCTCTTTGTTGTTGGTGATATCTTTCAGCAGCTCAGTCTTCATGCAGGCGTCTTTCCTTGGCTCTGCCTTACTCAGCACTGTTCGCTAGGGATGGGGAAGGGGGAGGGAAAGAAATGGGAAAGAAAGATCATGGTTTAACTCAATGTTCATACACAAGCTGCATTGAAAAGAAGAGACGACCATGGACACATCCTGTTTACATGAGGGCAAACCTCGTTCTCCTAAGTAACGGCTACAAGGAAACTGCCACCAAGGCACAGGTCACAGACATGAACTGGCAGCTCATCCCCATGAGGAGCAGAGGGGCTTCGTGCTGCACCCGGGCCAGGACCTCGCAGCTCAGTGTGGTTCAGATGCAGACAGATTCTCTACGTGTTTGGGAATCCAGCTGAGTCTGGCTGTGCAGGCATGGACTGAAATGGTCATGAAAGGCACAACAGAATCCCAGCCTGGTTTGTATTGGAAGGGACCTTAAAGCTCTTCCAGTCCCAACCGCCTACCATGGGTAGTGACACCTTCCACTAGAGCAGCTTGCTCCAAGCCCATCCAACCTGGCCTTGAACACTTGATCATCCCAAGGAGGTGATCCTTACTCCCCAAAAACTTCTTAGGTTTTAGGTGCGGGGAGGCTGATCTATCAAACTTGTCGCTCCACATCATTTAGCAACATTTACAGCCCATGGATGTTTTCAGTGTTTAGTTTTGGGGTTCTTTCCTAGTTCATTCAAACATAACTTACAGACTGCAAACCCTCAGCAAGCTCCAGCTCATCATTCATAACACTCATATATATTAAAGCTAATGAGCTCTTGTTTTAATTCTACAGAAAGGAATTCAGGTTTTTTTCCCCTCTTTTTTTTGTTATTTTCTTGTAAAAACAACCCACCTGCTCAACTCCTGCCTTTCACACACCTGAAGTCATGCTGCTAGGTCAGGTTTGCAGCTTTAAAACCCTCTTTTTTGACACGTCAAGACAAAAGAGCTACCAAAACCAAAGGAAAACGGTATTAAACCCCCCCAACACACATAGAAGGAGTCCTTTGACACAGTGCTCAGAGGACAAGCTGGTCTGAAAGGTGAAGATGGTGAGTGTAGAGGTGCTGTGCCCTGAGGCCAGGCTGGGCAAAAGGCAAACTGCACACTGCCAGTGTTGCAGAAGAAGAATGAGCCCAGGTGAAGCCAAGTGCTGCAGGCCCGCACAGAGCAGATGGTGCCTGCAGCCCTGCAAATCACAAGGTTTAAAGCACACTGAGTGATAAAGAAAGCGAAAGAAAACAACCTGCCCATCTCCTATAAGCAAGCAAAAAGAGATAAGACGCACACATGAAGCCCAGTGTATCAGCTCCAAAACCAGCCCCAGCAGCAGCTCGCCCTTCCCCACATGTTTGTCTGCATCTAGCAGGAGGGATGAGCTTTGATGTTGGCATTGCTATAACCAGCCACCCTCTCATCTGTGTTTCCTTGTCAGCTCAGCTGCAATACCAAGTACTGGCAAGTGCTGCAGTGTGGGGTCTTCCTCCACCCTGATTTTGGCAGCCCCCAGCTCCATGCAAGGCAAGGACAGCTCATCCAGAACCACATCCACATCTGGCTCACCCAGGACCATATCCCTGCCCCTCGGTGCCAGCAGCACCCCTCTATCATGCACCGAACATAGCAACACACAGCTGATGGAAGGAGGATGTGGCTGGGCACAGGGTCTCCACCGCCTGCTAAGGGCACCTTCAAGGATTGCTCCTCTAGCAAGGAGGAAGGTGGTTGTACATGGCTCCTGCCCTAGGCACAAGCAAACAGCAAACAGGCAAGTCTAGATGCTCCTAGCAAGAGGGAACTTATGCCCCGAGCTCACCAGCTTCAGACACAGACCAAAACTCAAACTGCAAGCATCTGAAACCTCAGCTGACCAGACAGCCTCAAACAAAACATACCTGCAGCAGTGTCCAACAGCTTCCACCCAGGAATGATCATGAAAACACAGCCCAGAGTTTGAACACAGATAAGCTTCTTTTTATATATATTTGCTAAGCCAATAATATATATCCTTGCTGCAAACATTTGCTTGTAAAGCCTATCCCTCGTCTAGCCAGACTTCCTGTAAGCTGGGAATAACTTCATCTTCCTCATGGACTCACCCCGCTGCAAGACTAACGCAAAGAGACCTGCAGAGAGATGGGGCTCAAGCACAGCCCCATGGCTCCTACCCATGGGCACCCAGGCCCCTGCCACACGCAGCAGCAGCAAATGAAGGCCCCCAACCTATAAAGGGACCAGGGTGTTTTCCCAGCCTTTGCTGCAACAAAGAAAGGTTTTGCTACTCCTGCTGTTAAATTGACTCATTCTGGAAGCCCCGGGACTTGCAGCAGGTCACTGGAGCCATCTGATTCTATGTCTGCCTTTATTTCACCAGCAGTAACCCCACTCCACAAACCATCCACATTCTCCCCTCCTCAGAGGCGTTGCTGCTGCTCAGCCCATGATGCCTGAAGAAAAGCCACTGCTGGCACCCATCAGATCTCAGCAGACAACGACCACCCTCCCTCCTCACTGCACTGAGCAGGAGCTCCAGGCTGCCCCGGGGCCTGCCCCAGCAGCAGCAGCTCTCAAAGCCATGAAACCATCCCCTTTAGTCCTGGGAGAGTAGGTGGGTGCCAAGGCAAGGCCAACCCAATGGCACCCGATGGGCTCTCCTGTTCCTAGCTCACGGACACATCTCTCGCTAGCAGCGGCGGCGCCTTTACAACCTCCATGCCTTGCTCTGCAACAGACAAACAACTCAGCATCAAGGTAGAACATCAAATAAGAATTACAAATAAAAAGCCAGCTGGGAAGGTTGAAGCGTTTTGATCCAAAGGAAGCTACAGGAAACCCCTGTGAAGCGCTCGAAGCCTCTTCCACCCAGGCCAGCCTTTGCCTTCCTTGCTCCATCACCGCTCCCAGCACCAGGGGCACCCATCACCACGGGCAGCGCTGCCCATTCATCCCCACCAACCCACGGCTCCACCCAGCCAACTTAGCAGCAACTTCACGGCAATGTCAATACCTCCATTTGGGGGGGGGGGGGGGGGTGGGTGTTGGGGTTTGGGGTGGGTTTTCCCTCCCTGAAATCAGAGCGAGCTGCCCTGGCTGCTCCCACTCCCCATGCCCCAGCCGTCGCTCGGATTGCCAGGGAAATCCTATACCCACCCTCCCGCCGGGAATGCCGGCTCCTGCAGCAGCCCCAACAAAGCCAACTGCCAAGCACACGCTGCTTCACAATAAAAGTCTCACTCTCGCCATTTCTTTTTCCCTTTCTTCCTTCCCCCCTTTCCTGCAGCCGTCCGCCTCCATTCCCTCGTCCGCCTCCATTCCCTCGTCTGCCTCCATTCCCTCCCCAACCCCAGACTGATTATTAACCTTCGTGGCTGGAGAGCCTCCATGAGGAATAGACACCACCAGCAACGAAGCTTTAGCACCCCCCAACCCTTTCATTTTTAGGTTTTGAGGGGAAGAAAAGACTTATTGCACCTTAGGAAGGACCCATTCTGGCTTTAAAAGCAACGAGGATCCAAGCAGAGGAGCTTGTGCTGGTTCAGTTTTAGCTCTGTTTACACGAAAACAGGCTTCCTCTCCTCCACGAGGTCTTTGGAGGGGATGGAGGACAGGTCAGACCAGCCAAGGAAAGGCTCTGCAGTTTCCAAACGCAACCAGAAGCTACAGTGGTGCCTTTAAAACAAAAAGAGCCCACCAAAGGAAAAAAAAAGAAAAAGAACAAAGCTGGGAAACAGAGTGAGCTTTCTCAGCCTCCTCCTTGCCATTTTCATCGTCATCCAGGTGCCCTTCGCAAGGATCCAAACAGGTTTTATAGGCAAAGACAACGCATGCACAGCAGAACTCCAACGTATCACAGCTTACCAAGCCCAAGAGACCAGTGCGTTGCCCCATGAAGCAGAGCTCTCTCCAGGCAGCGCAGGAAGAGCGGAGGTTGATGTGCAAAGATGTCTGCCTTCACCAGGGTCTTTTTATTCTTTGGTCTTAAAACTCAGCCGTTGGGGAAGCCGGGGCTGTGCAGCAGCGCTGTGCTGATCGTGCAGCCACAGCAGGTTGAGCTGGCAGGGCTGGGAGCAGGAGGACCCCTCTGAAAGGCTGCTCGCTCCCACCCAGGGCACCAACACATCCCCCTGCACACCAGTGGGATGGATGGGACCGATGCTGCCCGGCCCACGAAAGGCTTCAGCCTGGAGCTGGACACAACCAGGCACTGCAGCACTGGGGTATGTACCCCAACACCAGCCCCCCAGCAAAGCTCCCACCAGCCCTGCAGCAGGGCAGGATCCCACCTTCCACGCAAGGTTTGCAAGGCAAGGTGGGAGGCAAAGCCCTCAGACAACGATGCAACCCCAGCACCAGCAGATTCCTACTGATTTCTTTCCTCTTCTAAAACAAAATAAGTAACACAACCCAAACCAACTTGCTCATAATAACCTCTGCCTTAATTGAAGACAAACATTCGGAGTTAATTATATAGGAAGTAACGCCTAAGAAAATGCTTGTAGAAGGAGTGTTCCTTGGGCAGGCACGTGCAGGCTGCCCACTTCAGATCTCGGCTCTGCTTGGGTCCTGCAGTGCATGAGCAAGGCCTGGGATCACTGCTCATGGCGATGCTGACCACGGGCCTGTCACTGGATGCAGCAGAAGCATTTGATCTGGAGAAGGAAGGAAACAGCCACCAGCACACCTGGCCTACAATGCAGTCACCAGCCTCAAAGCTCCCTTTTTTCCTTAGGTTAAGGTCACTTCCCTATAAACCCCATGCAATCATGTGAACATGGAATTTTATCTGCAGCTCACAACAAGCACTGCCCTCAGCCTGAAGTCTGTCCCCCACATCCAATTCTTTGCCGTTCCTTTGTCTCCTGAATTCCTTTCATCCAGCCCCTTTCTAAGAGGCACGAAGCATTTCCTTCTCAACCCCCATGCCCTCGCTCCTCTTCCAGCCGCACAAATCAACTCCCGAAACGGGGAAGCGTTAAGAAACGAGGCGCAAGTCCCTGCATGCAACAGCCGGGAACAAGGAGACACGTGCATGGAACACAACAGGACTTAAA